TTTGGTTCGTTTTATAGAAAACGGAATAATCAGGTATTCCTTTATTTAGATTTTGCTTACTTCAAAATGGATACTTTTGGAACTGGTGCAACTCAATCTGAAAGGAACGAGTGTGGAGTTTTAAACTCAAACTTAAATCATTTTGATGATTTTATGGAGAAATTTCCTGCAGACCCTGCTTACATTGGTGCCATAATTGGTCGTGGCGGTTGTAAAATTAAAGAAATTAGAACAAACTTCAACGTTTATATACATATAAACAATGACACCAAGGAAATTTCTGTCAAGGGTCGTAATAGAAAAAATGTTGACGATGCAGTCAAATATATTCGTGATATTATGTCTGGTCAAGAAAATAGAAATTTTTCATTTCCAAATCACGAAGTCTCGCACAATCCCAAAGTTGTATTAAAAGAAAATACAATGAATCGTTTTAATGCTTCTTCCGAAAATGACAATATTCAGGTTGCAGCTCCAAAATCTGTAAGTATAAATTAAAAAGAATGAGAATATGGATATATATTAATATAATATCTCATAACAAAATTAATTTAGGGAGAAAGTGGTGGAATTAGATTAAATGCGCCTACGAAAAATGTATATAATGGTGGCGCCGAAAACCATGTAGTATTGCAGCCTATCGATTGGGAAACTTTGAATAGAAAAGTTGTAAGAAAAATTTTTAAAATCTACATATTAAGTTATCGATTTACCATATTTATTTTGCTCACATGAGGCATTTTTGATTACAGGAAGAACATCGTAGGTTACACTGGGCGCATCTGCCAGACTTGAGAAAAAATTTTTATGAAGAAGTAGAGGAAGTCGCTATTAAGACAGAAGAAGAAGTGAATGAAATGCGTTATTTAAACAATAATATAAGTGTTTCCCGTTTGGTGACAAATGAAGATCAAATGTGTCCTGATATACCGAAACCAATTTGGAAATTTCAACATTGTTTCAAAGATTATCCTGATATCCTTGATGAGTTAAAGAAACAAAATTTTAATGAACCATCACCAATACAGAAGCAAGCATGGCCTATATTATTGAGAGGCGAGGATATGATAGGTATAGCCCAAACAGGGACTGGAAAAACTTTAGCATTTCTGCTTCCTGCTTTGATTCATACTGATGGACAGACTACACCACGTGAGAAACGTAATGGTCCAAATATATTAATTTTAGCGCCAACGCGAGAATTAGCATTACAAATAGCAAAAGAAGTTAACAAGTACTCGTTCCGTGGAATAAAAGCGTAAGTTAGGAAATAGTTAAACCATAGTTTAAAATGAATGAAGAAAAAAATTATGAAATTCTTATTCAGTGTATGCATTTATGGTGGTGGGAATCGTCGTGACCAAATTAGTGTTTTCAAAGAAGGAGCTGAATGCGTTATTTGTACTCCTGGACGTCTTAATGATTTGGTTCAAGCTAAAGTTATAGACATTACATCAGTTACATATTTAATACTTGACGAAGCGGATCGTATGCTGGATATGGGTTTCGAGCCACAGATTCGAAAAATTCTACTCGAGATACGTCCTGACAGGCAGACCGTCATGACTAGTGCCACCTGGCCACCAAGTGTTGGTAGATTGGCCGAAAGTTATATGAACAATCCTATTCAAGTGTGTGTTGGTTCGCTTGATTTAACTGCCACTCATACTGTGAGTCAAAATGTAGAACTCTTGGAGGATGCGGACAAATTTAATACGGTAATATTATTTGAAAACTTAAATAAGAAGAATTGTGAAGAACAATGTACTTATTCTTGTTGCAGGTCCTTGCATTTTTAAAAAACCTTAAATCAACCGATAAGGTTATTATCTTTTGTTCTAAGCGAGCTCGTGCTGACGATTTGTCCAGTGATTTATCTCTAAAAGGCCTGTCCACACAATGTATACATGGTTCTCGTGATCAGGTACATAATGCATTAACTTAATTAGAGTAATGTCTCAGAACATAAAATTTATAAACTTATAAACTTAAAAAAATTGTCTTTAGACCGATCGAGAACAAGCACTGGCTGATATAGCGTCAGGCGATATACAGGTTTTGATAGCGACAGATGTTGCTTCAAGAGGTTTAGATATTGAGGACATTACGTAAGTGCTTAGTAGTATTTGAAACCGAATTTGTTGTATTAATTGTTTTTCATTTAGTCATGTTATTAATTTTGATTTTCCGCATAATATTGAGGAGTATGTTCATCGTGTTGGTAGAACTGGACGCGCTGGGCGAACTGGCACTGCCATAAGTTATATTTCCCGTGCCGATTGGGCAGTAACGCCAGAACTGATTCGTATTTTAGAAGAAGCTGCACAGGATGTCCCCAAAGAGCTACGTGATATGGCTGAGCGTTATAAACTTAAACAACATAGAGATCTAATTAAACTAAGCCGTGATATAAAGACAGTTAGCCGCCGTTTCTAATAAATATGTTGTATACCCATTTAATTTCATGATGGTATGTATAGGAAATAATGTAGAAAGAAACTCTCAGTAGAAAGAAGCTGAAATGTTTATAAAAATTATGCGGTTGTATAAAACCACAATAATTCCATGTATATATAATAAAATTTTATAATTATCTTATCATTATTTAGATATTCAAATAATAAAAAATCTCTATATTATATATTATTTACATATGTATGACAATATATACTTCATGCTATATATATGCAATAAATAACACAATGATGCACATGATATATTTGACAATAAGTTAATTAATATATAACGTTAAACTTAAACGGAGTTCAAATGGAAAGAATGGAAAGAATACTTCTGAAATGACATTTATAATTTTTCTCCATAGTGGCTATTTAGACGTAACTCTTTAATCGGTAAAGTTATGATATAAGAAGCATTTTTGCGTTTTTGGAGGAAAAACAGTATTAAATGATTTCAAAATGTGGACTTTGTTTCTGCGGCTGTCCAATTTGTATAGTGATTTGTATTAGACCGCAAAGGCGTTTAGTCTGGGCAGTCCTGATCTGGATTTAAAAAATGCATTCAACTCTTTTAAAAACATGTGGCGAATAGGAAAAGTCAAATATAAATGGTACATATTTTAAACAAAGATAAGCAAATCGATTACATTTCATATGCCAAATTTACTTCTATAAGCTGAAGCTTCAAAAATTCATTCTTTAATAAGTTATATATGTTTAAGAGTTTTTCTAAAATGAAGTTAAGAAATTCGAAACGAATAAAACATCATTATTGTTCATCATTACTACACAATTGTAGAAAAATTTAAACGGCAAATATATTCATATAGCATCATATGCTTGTCTAAACGTTTTAAAAAAATAATTTAAAGTAATATTTGGAATTATATGTTGATTATAATTATATAACTGATATACCTATTTAAAAAAAAATATATGTGTGTAAAATAATAATTGACTTGGTTTGAGTGGTTACAAAAATTAATTGTAAATAAATTATTGGCAATAACTTTCCAATTGTTTATAATGAGTCGTTAGCTACTAATTTTAATAAATATTTAAAAAATAAAATATATGACGATAATCAATCGATGAATGTTTGAAAGATGTTTTATTATTATTATTATTTATTATTTTTTAGCGCCTAATTGCATTATTTTTAATTCAAATAAATAATCTTCTCTTTGATTTTTTGAAAAACCATGGTTTTTATTTACGGACCTATTCTGTGCACTTGATAAACTTGTCAAACATTGACACTTGTCAAAATTGACTGCTGTAAAGGTTTTGGTATTCTGTGACATAAATAAATAGCTCTTTTCCTTGTTAGTTGTCAATACTATAAATGCTGTTGACAACTATAAAAATATGCTATTTTTAAGCATTTTTACAAGCATATTTTTTGTTGTTATTTGACTGCATGAAAAATGCTTTTGACAACTTAAAATATGTGCTCTTTACAAGCATTTTTTACTAACAATTACGAACAGTTTTCTATACAAAACACTTTACACCATAGTGTGGTGAGAAGCATTAGGTACTTGAGCTTTGAAATTTGTCAAGATGTGTCCAGAATACCAAAAAGCTTTCTGCTTTATAAAAATCAAAAATTTTATTAAAGAATTTGACAAATCTGTCAAGTGCACAGAATAGGTCCGTTAGTATGCATAATTTGAGCAGAATATATTTTAGATGTTTTAGTGTTCAATGTTTGTTAAATATTGTAAGCATTATCGAAATTTGAAAACTTAGGAAACTAACGCACCATAGGGTATCAATTGTTTAATTAAAATACAATTAACTAATTAATTGTTTGAGGTCATATTATGATTGTAATCACGTTACCGCAATTGTTGATTTTCATGCAAATTGAAAATTTGTCACTGACAGAGCACTGCATTTTGCATTGTAAGCAACAACAATTGCGTGGCGTATTTGCAATCACAGCATGCCACTTGAACTGTCAAATCAGCTGTTGTGGTCCTTATTTACATATAGTCTTATTTAGTTATGGAATTTTTAGCTAAATACATTTATGTTTTTAAATTATATAAATAGAATTGTCCAAAAAAATTTTTATACCATATTATGTAGTTTACAACAAAACACGTTGTCATTATGTTACGTTAAAGCAATATTTCCTTTTGACGCTGTTGCGAGTTTGGCATGATATATATGTTTTATTGTTCTATGCTATTAATGCTTATTAGAAGCATATAATTGCAACTTATATTTACTGTAATTGATACTCTTTCGTATACTGAATACGCTCCTGAATATTGCCGTTTTATTACGGGTGCTATTAAGTTGTAATAATTTCAATACGGTAACACTGTGTTATTTTCCTCTCAGAGGTTTTGTGTGCGGAAAAGTAGCTCCTCTGCAGAAAAGTTCTAAATGTGCAATTAAAGTTAATAATTATATTTGCAAAACATTATTAAATAATTCATTAATTAATATAAATCATTAAAACTGAAATGAAATATAAAAAATAGTAAAGAAAACAATTTCCGCACACAAAAAATTTTCAGCTGCCAAACAACGAAAATACATCAAAAAAATATGTTATTGCACAAGTATTATAAGTAAAACAAAGCAAGCTATATTATAAACTATTCCGTACTGTTTTCACTAAAGAGTTTTAAAGGAAGCACAGCGGAGATGAAAACAAAAGGCTACGAATAAATATACAAAATAAAAAATTTTGTGCCTCTGTGGACTGGTATTGTATAAAAAAAGACTCCAAACGTTGAACAAAAAAGTTTAATGAAAAATTGAAAATGGCGTTCCAAATGTTGAGCTCCTTTTTACCCCACATAAATAGAATTTTTTTACATAAATTTATAAAATAGTATATAATAAAAAGTGTGATATTTTTAACTACATACAACATAGAGTTTAATAAAGTAGAAAATTAAGAAATTTTAAGTGCGATATTAAGTGGTACATGTGTATGATTATTGTACTCTTGAATGGGGATGAAATGTTTATCGAACAGGGAAAGCATATTATATGAAAAACAATTAAAAATTTAATAAATTTGCCATACTAAATCCTAATATTTATAAAACTGCTTAGAAAATGCCCAGCGCTTCATTTACATCGTCGCGCTCCTATGTGCGCCGTTCCAGACGAAAAGGTGCCAATCGTATTGCATTACCAAATCGCCCTACAGGTAATTTTTATTCAAATTTATTTATTTTTATTCAAATTAAAATAATATATTATAAACTTACAAACTTTAGGTAATATAATGGATCCAATGTTGCAAAATATACCTGCCTCTGGTGCAGCCTCTAGTTCTAGTTCGACACTACAAAATAATAATCCAGCGAATTCAAACAATGCATGTGTTGCATCTTCAACCATGGTGTCGTGCTCTTCATCTATAGTTCCAAATTCTTCATTAGTTGCGGTATCAACTCCATCGAATTCAGTGTTAACAAACTCAACAGGAGCAGGATCAGTGTCGTCTGAGTTATTTAATGCATCAACGAGGACTTGCTCACAATCGTCAAGTGAAATTGGAGTCCTATGTAACTTTGGATCCTCATCAAGTAGTAGCAGTATTGGTTTATCAGTTTCGAACCAAAACAATATTCCTAGTATATCGAATTTTAATTCTTCCGTTTCGAATTTTGCAAATTCGCAAATAATTGATTCCGATGCTGGTAGCAGTAGTAGTTGTACAGGTTTGTAGATTTTGTTTTCCATTATTAATTGATTAAGTTATAATTTCTTCAGGTTTATCAAATGTTAATTCAACTGGTAATGTTACCATGATTTCAAACAATGGAGGTAAACAAACTCATTAGACATCTATATATATATATATATATATACCAATATTTATAATTCAAATATGTATACCCTGAAGTAGAATTCATTCAAAAATATTATTATATTTTTTTAGTTTGTAATTCATCAACATCTTCCGCTGCTTCAATAGGATTTTGCCATCAATCTCCGTATGATTTGCGACGTAAAATACCTGCCACTAACCATGAGCAATGGTGCAATTCAAATACAACTGCATCATCAAGTTGCTCCAATGCTTTATCACATACAGGAATTTTAACAGGTACTTGCAGCACAATATCATCTTCCATCTGTACTTCACCGCCTACGATAAATGTTACATCAACATCCTCTGCTTCGGCATCGTCATCCTCAGCAATAGTACATGCTCCTTCCACTAGTGCTACATTTCCTGTTAATAATGCTCACACAACTGGTGCACCTCTAGCTCCACCACCAACTGTTCATAGTTCTGTACCCCAGCAACATTGTAGTGCTTTACCAATAGGTGGAGCTGCAGCCATAGAAGATAACAATTTTATGTTGCCTGCGCGTAAACGTTCCCGAAGGTTATATGCACAAAGTGCAGATATCGCAAATGTTACAATAGGCACAAGTAACTGTACTCAAGTGGGTCCAACAGCAGCACAATATCTACAATATGAAATGCCAGATGAGGTGCTTTTGGTAATATTTTCATATCTAATGGAGCAGGATTTATGTCGATTATCACTGGTCTGCAAACGTTTTAATACAATAGCAAACGATACTGAGTTATGGAAACGTTTGTATCAATCAGTATTTGAATATGATATGCCTCTATTTAATCCAGAACTATGTAAATTTGTATTTGAGAAACCTGAAGAAATTGAATATACTAATCCATGGAAGGAGAGTTTTAGGCAGCTTTATAGAGGCGTTCATGTACGTCCTGGTTATCAGGTAAAAATATAAAAAAAAATTCAACACAATATAAAAACAATATTAATTAATATATTATTGTAGGATAAAAAATATTCAGGACGTAATATTGTGTTTTTTAACACAATTCAAGCAGCTCTGGATTATCCAGAAGAACGCGCTGCTGCTGCAGCTGCAGCAGTTACACCAGGAGGAGGTGTAACAGCGGGTCTTTCTAATCCTACAGGTAGTGCGAGCGTGAATGCGTTAGCTAATTTATATGAAGACAATGTGCCACCGAATGAGCACCCAGGACCATTAATTTTCCTGCACACTGGTCATTATAAAGGAGAATACCTTTTTATTGATTCCGATGTAGCACTTATTGGTGCTGCCCCGGGTAATGTTGCAGAATCCGTTATTCTGGAACGTGAAGCCGGTTCCACAGTTATGTTTGTAGAAGGTGCTAAATATGCCTATGTTGGATACCTAACACTGAAGTTCTCTCCTGATGTAACATCTACTGTGTCACATCACAAACATTACTGTTTGGATATTGGAGAAAATTGCTCACCTACGGTAGATAATTGCATAATCCGCAGTTCTTCAGTGGTAGGAGCGGCTGTATGTGTCGGTGGTGTAAATGCGAATCCTGTTATAAGGAATTGTGACATAAGCGACTGTGAAAATGTAGGATTATACGTAACTGATTATGCTCAGGGCACTTATGAACACAATGAAATTAGTCGAAATGCATTGGCAGGTATTTGGGTTAAAAATTATGCCAGTCCAATAATGAGAGAAAATCATATCCATCACGGTCGTGATGTGGGTATTTTTACATTTGAAAATGGAATGGTTAGTAAATATCTTGTTAAATATATATTAAAGCAATTAATTAAAATTTTCTTCATATTTAAGGGATATTTTGAAAAGAATGATATACATAACAACAGAATAGCCGGCTTTGAAGTGAAAGCTGGCGCAAATCCTACTGTTGTTAAGTGTGAAATACATCATGGACAAACTGGTGGCATATATGTACATGAAAATGGATTGGGCCAATTTATTGAAAATCGAATTCATTCAAATAATTTTGCAGGTGAGTTTAAAGAATATTTTAGGAAAACTACAGTGTAAAGCCAAAAGTCATTTTATTAAATTATATCAAGAATTTATAACATAGAAAATATAGGTATAAAAACTAATAATAAAATATAATTTTAAATTAATCTTATATCAATAGGCGTATGGATCACATCAAATAGTAATCCAACTATACGAAAAAATGAAATTTATAACGGTCATCAAGGTGGTGTATATATATTTGGCGAGGGACGAGGATTAATAGAACATAACAATATATATGGGAATGCTTTGGCTGGTATACAAATACGAACAAATAGTGATCCGATCGTTAGGCATAATAAAATACATCATGGGCAACACGGTGGAATATATGTACATGAAAAAGGTCAAGGTTTAATTGAAGAGAATGAAGTATATTCGAATACGCTAGCCGGCGTATGGATAACAACTGGAAGCACCCCTGTATTAAGAAGAAATCGAATTCATTCTGGTAAACAGGTAATTATATGTGATTAAGGGCTGATTTTATAGCCATGACTTAAGGCTTAAAGCAAACTTAAGTATTCCTTAAGTGTAAATCTTGACTTAAGCATAACTTAAGTCACATAAGAAATGAGTGTTTATTATTTTGATTTGTTTCTGTTGGAAAACATAAATATAAATAAAATTTATCTTTTCGTTTTAAACCCATATATTTGCAAACGGATTAGTAAAGTGTGGCAGTGTTTCGGATAAAGGCATTTCATTTTGAGTGTTTGGCAGGAATGCTTTTCATATTTTTTGTCTTAATATTTATGTCAAAAAATTTATTGTGGCTTGTCTCATTCCTGGAATTGCTATTAAAATATTTGCATAGACTATTTCTATATTTCCATTTCCTACATTTATCGCAGTCTTCTCCGTTAACTCAATTACGCTCTTCATAAGAAATCCTTTATAATTTTTTATTTTCTGCAGTCAGGAATTTTTGCATAGAAAGTTCTCTTCTAGTTTTATTTCTAGTCCATTTCTAATAAATTGTTATATTTTTTTAATTACTTTTATGTATATTTTCACTAATTCCTAAAATTTAACAACCTTAGCAGTCGAAAAATTCTTAGGGCACATTCAATATGCCATTGTTTTACTAATTGTTATTGTTGCTAACTAATATAACTTAAGTCAGGTTACTGAGGCAGTTAGTCCAATTGACCAACTCACTTAGGGTCTAAGGTCCTTTCTACCACTATTTACCACATGTTTTTAACTGCTAGTCAATTATGGAACCCTAATAAAGCGTGAAATGATTTCTATCTAAGCAGTGAATACTTTTTTAAAACAGCTAAACACATAATTCACTCTGGTTCCAGCTAGAGCTGGGTAACTATAGTTGATGTTATGAAACACATCTTCAGGATATATTACATACACAGTCGAATGAATGTCATAAAATTAAATTCAACTTATCATTTAATGGAACAGAGAGTCTGGGTTCGAATCCCACTAAGATCTGGTGTGAAAATATGCTTAAAAATATCTTTAAAAAAGTGCGAAACATAGACGCTAAACTCCATCTGGTATTGCCAGGTTACCAGTCAGTTTCATTTAACCCAATCTACTATTAGACTACTAATAGAGGCATATAAGTACTACAGAAATGATCTGATTTCGTTGTTATCAAGTTACAAACTCAAAATCAAAATAATAAAGAGTTGTTTTTTTAAATTTATTTAAGTCTGCACTAGTGGTGCCATACTTCGTTACTTTTGCGTATTTGTACTCGTTACTCAGTATTCGTTACTGCGCTTTCGTTACTGGTTTTCGTTGCTGAAGTTTAAATGCTTTTCTTCGGCAATAAAAGGAATTTTTAAATGCATATATATTAAAAATAATAAATTATAGATTTAATAAGTTAGAATAATTATTTAAATGAATTGTTTGATCCGCATATTTTGTGTTTAGCTTTCCACCTCCTACTGGTTTCAAATGAATCCATATTTCACTTTTTTTATATAAATGTTTTAAAACTTTTTTATTCCATTTGATAGCGTAGAAAAATTTTGTTCAAAATAAAGTAGTTATTATTATACCGCGAAAACAATTGCTAAAGGTAATCGTTATCAAGTACTCAAAAGCGTAGTTATAACAATACTACTCATTAGTAAGATGAGTAAAATTAACGAATACAATAAAAAGTTTGTATTCGTTACTCGGCTGTTTCTTGAGTAACGCATACAAGGTAACGGATAATTACATTTTTGGCACTACTAGTCTGCACTCCCTATACTGGCAAGATGGGCAAGATTTTTGCGTTTGAATGCAAATACAGATTATTTATTAATTATCCAATTATGTCGGTGAACAAAAATTTACATGTGTTACTGAAAAAAATGTTAATGTAGACGCTGGGTTAAGTTTTGCTGAAGTTATCAACTCTAATGGCTTAAGTCATGACTGCTAAATCAGCCCTAAAATTTTTTATATAAAGTATGGTAAATTGGAATTTTTTTTAATTAAAAGGTTGGAGTTTACTTTTATGATAATGGACATGGAAAATTAGAGGATAATGATATATTCAATCATTTATATTCTGGCGTACAAATACGAACTGGTAGTAATCCAGTTATACGTGGTAATAAGATTTGGGGTGGTCAAAATGGTGGTGTGCTTGTCTACAATGGCGGGCTTGGCCTTCTTGAGCAAAATGAAATATTTGATAACGCTATGGCGGGAGTTTGGATTAAAACAGATTCGAACCCAACTTTGCGAAGGAATAAAATCTATGATGGTCGCGATGGTGGAATTTGTATATTCAACGGAGGTAAAGGCATTTTAGAGGAGAATGATATATTCCGCAATACTCAAGCTGGGGTGCTTATCTCAACGCAATCACATCCCATATTACGAAGGAATCGTATTTATGATGGCCAAGCTGCAGGTGTAGAAATCACTAATAACGCTACTGCCACGTTAGAACACAATCAAATATTCAAAAATAAATTTGGTGGTTTGTGTTTAGCAAGTGGAGTGCAGCCAATAACGCGTGGCAATAATATTTTTAATAATGAAGATGAAGTGGAAAAGGCCGTTTCGGGAGGTCAATGCTTATACAAAATAAGTAGTTATACTTCATTTCCAATGCACGATTTCTATCGCTGTCAAACATGTAACACTACAGATCGTAATGCAATTTGTGTTAATTGCATTAAAAATTGTCACGCAGGACATGATGTGGAGTTTATACGTCATGATAGGTAATTTTTACAATTAAAATAATAATTAAGTGTAATCATTAATTTCTAACTATTGCTATAATTTTCACTACGTATTTACATTAAATATTATAGATGTATCAAAATATATACGTACGATAAGCTAACTTTGCCTATAAAAATAAAATATAAAATTCAAGCCCGATATTTATTACTACTCTCTATTATTTATATCGTTTCTTGTTTTTTATCTTTTGGTATCATAAATTAGCCTTAAGATGGTGCAATAAAAAGGGTTTCCCTTAATGCATCCAAATAAATAATTATTAATAAAAATCACTACAATTAAAAATAAATATATTCTATATTCATTTCATAAGGTTTTTCTGTGATTGTGGTGCTGGCACTTTATCGAATCAGTGTCAATTGCAAGGTGAGCCCACACAGGATACGGACACTTTATATGATTCGGCAGCGCCTATGGAATCACACACACTTATGGTGAATTAAATTTCAATTTACAGCAAATAATTTATAACTTCATTTAGGATGGAAATATTTTTTAATTAAAATAAGTAAAAAAAAACACAATTTATATATTATGCTACTAACACTATATACGTAATTACATAATTAGTCGTACTGATCATTAGTATATATGCAATATTTTGAAATATTAATTACTTTCTATTATGTTCGTATTAATAATAAAATGCAAAATCTATTTCTAAGTTTTTACAATTATTTTAGTATTTTTTACAATTATTATATTAATTGTTTCGTTTTAATTTTATTATTAAATGTGTTGTATATATTTATATATACATTAGTTTGTGTTTAATTATTTGAAATAATTTTTGAGTACCTTTTTAAAACACGATATACTCATTTTTAAGAAATATATAGAAATTTATTTTATAATTGTATATATGTTTTTATAATTTTTTTTTTTTTTTTTTTTGTATATAAATTACTTTAATGTGCAATTCTATATTTTGAACTTTCGAGCTTTGTTTTCAAACTTAATTTTTTTTTCAATTTACAACGAAAAAAAAGAAAAAAATCCCAGTGAAAAATTTAATCAAATGGTACATATATTTACGATAATCATAATCACGTAGAATGTATAAACATGTAATAGCACTACAAACAAATGCGCTGATAAAGAATAAGTTTTAACAGTAAAACATAATCCCGTATTTTAAAATCAAAATGTTATCAATAAAAATAAAAATGTTTTAATTATTTAAACTACTACTAAATGATCGAATAATAAATTCAGTACGTTTAAGAAAAAATATTTAAATTATTAAAAATACTGCTACTACTACTGTAAAGTGTTAGTCATATGTTGACTACATTAACCCAAATCATGTATTGCTACAAATAAGTTGTGTACTATACACTACTACTAATTAATCAGCAATTTAATCGGTACTATAACTTTGGAAAGTTCATGTTATGCGGCGCCCACCGCATCGAAGACGATACTGGCATCTTTGCAATGTTTTCAATATTAGTCACTTATTCTAAAAACTAAGTAGTGCTACTGATTATACGTTTTAATATAAGAAATATAAGTAGTTTAAAATTATTAATAAAATAGTAATAAAATATGTTAAGCAAATAATATATAATATAATATTGAACTAAGTGTAATAAATTTAAAAAATCTCTTGTGTCATTTAGTGTAGTTTAGAAATGATAGATTTTAATATTTTGTAATTGAGTATTTAAATCAACTAAAATGCATCCGTTAAAAAATCTCTAGAAATAACTACTGTTTACAATGTACTATGTGTTATATTTTGTTTAATGTAAAATTTTTTTTTTAATATCGAATTACATGTTTCATTTAAGTAAAATATTAATATTTTTATAGTTGAATATTTTTAAGACAATTTGTTTTATGTGTAAAATTCATTTATCGACTTTATCGTATTATTGTAATTATTCTCTCTATACTATAAATAATATCATAAACAACAAACAAAAATAAAAAACTCACTATACATTAATATGAAATATAAGAAATACAGAGGTACACCTACTTATTGAAGTAATAGCAATAAAATATGTGTTGTAATAAAAAAAATTTATGGAAGAAATGAATCAAGCTTAAACTCAAAAGCAATTTTATATGTGTTTTTAATAAATTACAAACTTAATGTAGTAAAAATTATATATAAAAAAATGTTCATGTCGTATGAAAAATGTTGAATAAACATTTTAAAAATTTAATGTTCTTTATATGCAAAAAATGTGGTAAAATATTAAAATGACCTCAAAAGTTTTGTTAGTGTACGCTTTAAATAAAAAATAATAATGAATATCGATTTAATTCAATTACAAAAAAATATGTATTACATTTAAAGAAAAGTATTAACGATATAGGAATTCAAATGTGGATTTATTAGATCTTAACAAAATAAATAATTACATGCATACTTAAAAATAAACTATAAATAATTACATAAAAAAATAACATCTATTTTTAATAGAAAATGGCATTATAAAAACAGAAGAGAACTTTTTTTGTTTAAAAGAAAAAATGACATGAAAAAAGAAAAGAATGACTATTGACTAAGTAGGGGTCTGACCCACCCAATTGGTAAATTATGAATTATAATTGAATGGAGTTGGTCATAGCTTTATTGAAGTAAATCGGCATATCTTTATTCCGTCGCTTAAATACTTTTGAGCCTAATAATTGTTGGTGTGAGCAGAAGAAGAGGGCGATCAAAAAAGCGATGGAAAGACACTGTCTTAGAAGCAAGACTTAGAAGAAATGAACATAAGAAATTGAAAAACAAAAGCAAAAAACAGATAAGAATGGAAGACTGTTGTTAAACAGGCTTAGGTCTTACAGGGACTGTAAAGTCACGGATGATGATGAATTGTTGGGATGACTACCTATTATGGTGAATAATTTAGTTTAGTTACTTGGAAATCTTAAATATAGTTCTTAGGGTGATGCTTTGCAGGTTTTGTTACCCATCAAGATTGGACATAGGTTCCTTGCTAAAGGCGACACAAACATACAAAAAAAAACGGCCTAATGAGACTTGCTTGTAGACGAGCTTTGATTTTTTCCAAATTTAACATTTTGCTTTTAATGAGAGGGTATTCCTTTGGTATATCATGATAAAATTTAAAATGTACGTAAAAGTCATTAGCTATGATAATGTTTACGATTTATAAAATTGAAACTTAGATCACTAACTTAGTAATTGATAAAGTGAATAAATGACAAAAAAAACAATAAAAAAAACAAATAAAATATCCCCATTTAATTTGGTTTCGTTAAAAATGCAAATTGAATTGCCAAAACAGCTGATTTTATTTTTACTTGTTTTCTTTTACATTAAAGCAGGAGAAAGTGGAGAAAGTAAAATATAATAAAAATTCAAATAAGAAAAAAATTCCATCTCAATCTATCAATTACTATAAGAATAACAGTGATAAGAAAAACTTTATGACAGATCAACATAACGAATGTTTTTTATGTGGGAAATGGAGTATTGGCTTATCTCTGATTTGAACTGATTTCGGACTATTGTAACCTAGAGGCTACATGAGAAAGTAGCTCGAAAAAGGTTGATATATACTTACAATTTTTTACAAATGCATTCATACACTCTCTAACTTGCAGAGAAAGTAATTTGACGTATCTTTTTGACATTTGTCACTGTAAAATATACACATGATTTATTTCATATATTTTTTATTATTTATTTATTTCTTTTTAAATATATGTTATTTAAATTGCAAATATTTTCTAATTCTAATTAAATTATCATAAATGTGTGTAAATATTTAAGGTAAGTGAAGAAACATTAAAAAGTTTACTTAATTTGCTGTGATAATTTTACTCTGTGTCAATAAAACAGTATCCCGCGTTTATTTCTTGCAAAAATTGAAAAAAAATAAAATTAACAAATTTTTATTAAAAAAAAATTCAGATGTTATATTATTTTATTAAAAATAAAGTGCCGTTTTTTTTTTAATTTTAAACAAAACAGATTTTACATTTGGTACAATATTACGGCCGCGTGCAAGTTCGAGTAAATTGAGGGAAATAGTAAATTATATCGGTATGGCAGCGAAATATAGTACCAGAATTTCAAATATGGTAAATTAGGTAAAAATTAGGTAAATTAAAAACTTTTAACCATAAATAATAAATAAGTGCAATAAATAAGTATTTACATAAGTGCAGTGCAAAAAATTCCTAGGAAATTTCAAATTTAATTAAGGTCGTGTGCGAGTTAGGCTAAGTTGGGTTCTAAATGAGGGAAATTCTAAGTTGTGCCGATAATGTAGTGATATGCCGATACGTGTTGATAAATGGCTAAATGTGTGCAGTGCAAAAAATCCTAAAAAATCTCCCATTTGGTTTAGCATCAACTTAGCCTAACTCGCACACGTCCTAAAATTAATTTTAATTTAGGTCGTGTGCGAGTTAGGCTAAGTTGCGTTCTAAATGAGGGAAATTCTAAGTTGTGCCGATAATGTAGTGATATGCCGATACGTGTTGATAAATGGCTAAATGTGTGCAGTGCAAAAAATCCCAAAAAATCTCCCATTTGGTTTAGCATCAACTTAGCCTAACTCGCACACGACCTTAATTTCTCTTTTTTATTTCTGATTTCAATTTATTCAATTAACATATTCATTGCGCATGCCATTGATACGTACAGGCAAATTTCGAACTACTTTCTCGTGTAGACTCTAGGGTAACTGAAAAAAAAATTATATAAAATCAGTTGAAGTAATAAGAAGTGTTCTGTATCAAAGGGTCATCAAAATAATTAAGGTCGTGTGCGAGTTAGGCTAACGTCGTGTGCGAGTTAGGCTAAGTTGATGCTAAACCAAATGGGAGATTTTTTGGGATTTTTTGCACTGCACACATTTTGCCATTTATCAACACGTATCGACACATCAATACATTATCGACACAACTTAGAATTTCCCTCATTTAGAACGCAACTTAGCCTAACTCGCACACGACCTAAGTTGCGTTCTAAGGACGTGTGCGAGTTAGGCTAAGTTGCGTTCTAAATGAGGGAAATTCTAAGATGATTGGTTTAGCATCAACTTAGCCTAACTTGCACACGACCTAAATGAGGGAAATTCTAAGTTGTGCCGATAATGTAGTGATATGTCGATACGTGTTGATAAATGGCAAAATGTGTGCAGTGCAAAAAATCTCCCATTTGGTTTAGCATCAACTTAGCCTAACTCGCACACGTCCTAAATAACGTTTAATATATTGAACGAAATTCATTAAATGCATAACTTTTTCCTACATCATAAGCGTAGCTAAAGAAGGCATATGTGGCACTTACCTCCTAAAACTGATCAAATTAATATTGCATAGTGGAAAGCTGTCCCATGTGATAAGGTCGCCTCTAAATTAAATGTTATAGCTCCATGGCGACAGTATGTGTGTGTGTGCATCAACATAAGCGTAGCCAACAGACATAGGCACTTGTAGCATCCTAAGAGAACGTCCAAAGCAATGATTCATAATGAAAATAGTACTCCTGAAATAGTTGGTTGGTAACCTCCGTAAAGTGTCTAAAGCAATGTTACATAATGAAAATAGAGACTGTAGAAAAGCAAAATGAAATTGACATGTGTTATGGAGTTTTCGATTGGTATTTACTCTAGATCTGTTTGTTGTCCAATCGAATATTAAACAAAAATATTTGTAGTACGCATATAATATATTTTGATTACACACAAATTTTAAAAGTACATTTAATCGTTTTGATTTCAAAGTAAAAATCTTAGTGTTTACTATATACGCAATTAGTCATTTTCATCGTCATCATTTCTAGATGCTATGTTTAGTCTATTGTACTAATCTCGGCAAATGTGCATTAATATATGCAAATTTTGCATACAAATTTCATATAAAGTATGCTAAAGTGGTTGGATAAATCAAACTATAAGTATAAAGTGCCTTCGGTAGCTTTTAAGTGTGGCAAAAAATAGCAAAGTGCTCGCTTAAAGTTGCTGAAATATATGTATTATTACGTATATTGTAACGTGGGCAAACATTTTAGCAATGACAGAAAAAAATGTTACCAAAGCAATAATCGAACTATTGTGAACCTTGATTGGAAATTTCCATAAATATTCCAGTCATATGTTAAAGTATTGTTAACAAAAGTTAAAGCAAAATTAAAAAGTTTTACAAATTTAAAAGTGAAATATTAAGGCACATCCACACTAAAACGAACACTTGCGAACGAGCGAGCATTCGCAGGTAATGTCACCACTTTAGTGTGGATGTAACTTTAGGCGTTTTCGATGGCTCGCAAATGTGGCAAAAAACAGCAAGTTGTTGAATGTATGCAAAAACATGTATGGAAAAAACACTATTTTCTCCATCTAGGTCAGAACACTTCTGCTAGTAAAGAAAAAAGTATTACCAACGCAATAAGCGTATTATTGTGAACCTTCATGGGAAATTCCAACGAATATTGCAATCATATGTCAAAAATCATATGTCAACAAAAATTCAAAAAATTCATATATTTAAAAATTGGAAAAAAAAGAAAAAATTTCAATGTTTTATTTTGAAAATTCCAACATTCTTACCATTCCTTTTAATTCTCTATTCATTTTAATTTTAGCTTTATTATTTTATTTTATACAAAATGTATTATGCTTGCATTATGTGCATATATACAAGATAATACGACATCTATAATATGTTACTTGCTATTTTTTGCCATACTTAAAAGCTGCAGAAAGCAGCTATTACGGCCGTATGCGAGTTCAAGTAAATTAATGGTAAATGGAGGGAAATAGTAAACTATATCGGTATGGCAGCGAATCTTGGTATTTACAAGAATTTCGAGTAGGGTTAATTAGATAAAAATAAGGTGAAAATTTTGTGAAAATTTTATAAGGTATTTAATAAATAAACAAATAAATTTGAAAACTTTTAAACAAAAATAAATAAGTGCAATTAATAAAAAATAAATAAATAAATATTTACATAAGTGCAGTGCAAAAAATCTCTAGGAAATTTCAATTTACTTTACCCCAATTTACTCGAACTCACAAACGGCCTATAACAAAGATTAATTTTGTTTTTTTTTTTGTAATCTACTGGCAATATTGTAGAACTATTTCGCAAATCAAAAATATGGCAACAATGTCATGTAAATAAATAAAAGCAACAACGTCAACTTTCAATCTAAAACAAAACCGAAATACTGACGCATTTGTTTTGGAGCAAGAATCAATTTTCAGTACTCTTGGAAATACGAAACTATCTGTGAGGAAATCGGAGAAGATTAAGCTAAAATTAGACCGTTTGCATTGTGTAAATATATGTGTATATTTCAATTTGTGTATATAAATAAGAAATAAGTAAAAACATGAAAACGAAAATGAAAATGAAAGTAGATTGATTGTGTGGCTGTGTGTGTTCTTAAAGATTCGTTTCGATCATTTTACGACGGAAGTCGAAATTGCTGAAGAAGAGATGTCCTATTTTTCGTACAGTGGAGGCGATTTGGTGAACTTAAATGTGGGTGGTCAAAGGTAGGTTGAAAAAGTCTTAATTTTTCTTAATAAATTATATTGGATTATTTAAATTAATCTTTAAATATTTTTAAATTTTAAATAATTTAAAATGTTTTATTGTATTTTTTTGCATTAATAGTTTATTTATAATATCTGTAATAATTTAATTTGCATAGATTTTCCACTTCTCGTCAAACGCTGACTTGGATTCCTGATACATTTTTTACTGCTCTTTTGAATGGTCGCATATCAAGCTTACGAGATGAGAGTGGTGCTATATTTATTGATAGAGACCCTGCTCTTTTTTCTATAATACTTAATTATTTACGTACCAAGGATATTGATATCAAAACTTGTGAAATACGCGCTTTGCGGCATGAGTCAGAATACTATGGTATAACACCATTGGTTAAACGTTTGGCATTATGTGAGGACTTGAATCATTCATCATGTGGAGATGTGTTATTCTATGGTTATTTAGTGGCACCATTGATTCCATCAAATGACAATTTATCGATAACTTCAACACCTATTGGAAATGAGGGTGATATGCAGGGCAATGTTCAACCGCCTGCAGCAAATAATACACCAGTGACAACAGGGAAACCACTTAATTCTGCCCACAATTCTAATTCAAGCACACAGGGTAATGCGCCATTGGAATCGTGTCTTCCAAGTACTTCTACTGGCATTTCGTCTGGTATGACAAATGCACGACCGGGTTCAATGGTGCGTGTACCTGAACCATCTACAACAACTAGTAGACATTCCTCTACGCATTCACGTAATTCCTCATGGGACTTAAGAGCCGGACGGTCTGGTACTAATGGTGTTGATGTCCGTCCTTGGACAACTGGATCCAGCCATTCGCGTACAGCGTCAGTAGATTTTATGCGTCATTCGCGAAATTCATCAGCTGATTTGAATAAGATAATTAAAAACGATGTAGGATTAGTTTTTAGCCCAACTTTAACTAGTAATTGGGTAGATCCACTACGTGTGCAAATTATTAAAGCACATCAAAATTGGATAGCAGTGGCATACGCTCATTTTGTGACTTGTCATCGCGTAAAAGACTCAAGTGGTTGGCAATTGGTATTCACTTCACCGCACATTGATTCAACAATTGAAAGAATTGCTATTAATTCCAAAGTATAGTGAATTTGTATTTCTATATCTTAAATAAAATTTAATTTCACATGTGTTTATGTGTATGTGTTTCAGGTTCTTACCTCTACAGCTGAACCAATACCACACAAAATGGTTGCAATTTCATATGGGAACGAAATACGCTTATGGAGCATTCACGAAGGTGGAGTCAAAACGGACATTGGAATTTTCAATTTAAATGTGCGGGTTGAATATTTATTCTTTATTGGCAGCCAGTTAGTGGCGCTCTCTTCATCTGGTAAAATAGGAGTCTGGCATGCAATGACGCAACATTGGCAAACTCAAGATCTGGTACCAGTTCTATCATTTGATTCAGCTGGGTCGTTCCTATTGCTTGGTTGCAACAATGGCTCAATATACTATATTGGTAGGTTGATTCTAAATTTCTTTCCAATTATCTATAAAATTTAATGTTAATTTTGATATTAATTTTTAGATATGCAAAAATTCCCCTTACGCATGAAGGATAATGATTTGCTTGTGACCGAATTATACAAAGATCCCAACTTGGATCCCATAACTGCAATATCAGTTTATTTAACACCGAAAACATCAAGTAACATTTATTTACATTTATATTCAGACACTTTAATATTAATTACTATTTATATTTTATTTAATGAAATTTATTCTTTTTGTACATAAAATTTATTAATAACTAACATGGTTTCATCGCAATATAGAACGAATACTACTATAATTTGGTATTCTTTATAGGCATATCTGGTAATTGGATTGAAATCGCATACGGCACTAAATCTGGTGCCGTACGCATAATCGTGCAGCATCCAGAAACTGCTGGACATGGTCCGCATTTATTTGAAACTTTTACTGTTCATCAGAGTCCTGTTACCAAGGTATTTTAGTGATATATATTTCATGTGCTGTTTAGATACATATATTTTCTGCAGGTTACCCTCTCTGAAAAATATCTCATATCTGTATGCAGCGAATATCATCATGTACGTACATGGAGTCTTACACGTTTTCGTGGCATGCTCTCTACTCAGCCTGGATCTATGCCTGAAGCATCTTTTAAAATTGTTTCACTGGAAGCTACTGATACTCAATATAGTTATGCAGCAGGCAATGATTTCGGTCCTTACGGCGATTATTGTGAGCAAATTTTTGTGCAAAAAGTTGTTCCTGAAACAGATCAACTCTATGTACGCTTGGCATCAAATGGTGTGCGTGTTTGTATCATAAAATCTGTAGATGGTTCTACGATAACATCATTTGAGGTATTATCACGTATGGGTTCACGTTTTATGATAACTGGACACTGTAATGGTGCTATTCAAATATGGGATTTAACTACAGCATTTGCGTTATTTTATAAGGATGAACCCCAGCAGAAAATTTCAGGCGGACCCGACACAAATGAGCTTCTCCGCCTACTTGACCAATGTGAAATCAGTAATAGCCTCAGTTCGACGCCTTGTATGTCACCGTGTCTTTCAGCTGTTGGGAGCTTGGCAAATGCCACAATAGCTCGTATGAAAGCGAGTAATATAGCATTGTTGAATCAATTAAATAATCAACAGCAACAACAACCTTTAAATCCATTACAGCAGCAACTGCAACAACAGTGCGGTGGAAATAATAGCGAATGAAATGCGGAGGCGGCGTAAGTTGGGGCGTTGCTGTCGGGCGTATTTCAAAAATATTTATTTGATTTAGTAACAATTGAGCTTTCTAATATATAATCTTTAGCAAATATGAGTACATGTTCCTTATGTGCATATGGTATAGGCATTTTATTTACTATTTAAGTCTCTGAATGGCGAATTTTAAATTAATTTTATTAAGGTTATTGTAAATTTTGTCTCGATGTTCATTTACACTAGTGAATCCACTTAATTGTGTTATATTATGTTAAAAAAAATTTATTGTCATTGAATATATTAGTGTAAATTTATTTGTTTTATTATAAATAAAATTATCTAAACTTAACTCATTAAAGGTATTTTACAAAAAACACTTGTTTACAAATAATTAAAAATTTTTTTTTCGAAGATAAGACCTACATTTTTTATAGCGACATTTTCCGTAGAACTGAAAAATTATAACGATTTTTTTCTTGTGTTCCGTTTTTCCATTATTTGCGAATACCGGCTATTTTGATTTTTCTCAAAACATTACTCTACATACCTATGTCCCTTAACTTTTTTTCGTTAAGTTACTGCATATAGTATTGTATATCAAAATAAATCTGAAACTTGTACGAATATTTTAAGCTCATCTAAATTAGTCCTCATAGGCGTATAGTCCTCTAAAATGATGAGGGATTTTGGAATTAAAATGCTTGTGTTTCTATCCCAATCATATAATTCCTTTATATTTGTTTCTATATTTTTAATATTAAAATTATTAAGCGTCTTTTAAACGGTATAGTAAAAATATCTTTAATTGATTTTTATATCTGGTAATCAAAATTTCTTAATAAACAAAAAGAACGTTTTTATTTATTCGGTAGCCAATAAAATTTTAAATTAAAACCGCTCTCCTTCGCTTTTACCTCCTCAGCATATCGCATTCCAACCAATATACTCGTCTTCTAATAAATTCCTTTATCCTGCTATGACAGAACCTTTATCCTTAGCCTTATCTTGAAGCCGAGTTTAAGTTGACATAGTTTAAAATAGAGTTACTATTGAGATAATAGTTTCTTTTAATTGACCAAATTTAAGTCCGATTTGGATTCACATGTATCATAGTTATGCAGTGAATTAAAAACATTTTTTAAATAAGACAAAGTATTTCTTATTGAAGAATATAGTCATAGAAAGGCCTTGAGGCCTTAATTCTCGTCGAATTTATTGATTGATTGAAACGATTTTATGACTCTATTACAACTCTATTAATCACAACTGTTACCGTTGACAGATTATTTTCTGTCATAAGAAAAATTAAAATCTGTCACCACTTTTATATAAAAAAAGAGACTATAGGTGACTATAGCCTCCTATAGGAACTAATAATAACTTTATAGATCTATAAGGTAGGTTAGGTTGCAATTATGATCATAAGCATTTACTTAACTTATATTCTTAATTTTTAGAGTATTAATACCATCTCTTGTTAATAGTTTGGGTACTATGAATGTAGCAAATGCTCCCTTATACTTTTTGCCACTAAATACATTGATCCATTTTTTCGTATTATGGATACACTGACGACTAGCGCTGAAAATGATATCACGTATTCCGTTACGTGATATCATGGACGCTGATATCATGTTTTCGCCGCGACTTAAAGTAGGCTTAACATTTCCGTCTAATTTTCTTGTTCCTGTCTTACACTAGTCCACCTTCCCCATCTCACCCAATTGTGCAATGTTTTGTCATACATTTGATGTACTTTCAATTCAGTTTGAAATTGTATATTGCCGATATTAAAAAATAAGGTAAAGTATTCACTTTTTTTACATATACGTAAAATCATTTTTGTATTTATTTATAAATAAAATACACAAGAATACTTGTTTGTAATATTATATATGAATTGTAAAATTAACTAAAAATTTATATATATATGTTTTAAATAAAACAGTTGATATAAATAATTTACATAATATATAAACGTATTGTATATAAATAAAAATTTATAAAAATCAGAAAAAACATTTGCAATAAAAATGAAACTTTTTCATTAATTCAGCTTTTAGAAATCAATAAGCTGTAAAATTATTTAAATAAATAAAATTTTAATTGTATGAATCATATTCTTTATACTTATTAACACATAGTATAAAAAACTTTTGTCTATGCATACTAATATAATTTTAGAAATATAAAAATATTATTTAGCAATAACATAGTTGCGCTTAATAACTTTTTAAGTCATACTGGAATAATTTTTCGATTTAATTGAAGAATCTAATTTTTTAATCTAATACTTTTTGTACACTTTGAAAAAGAAATGTAGTTTAAATTTATATTATAATAGTCAGCAATTAATACATTAAACATTATTTATATAATGTACTTAAACATGTTTCTAAAGTTGAAAATAATATATTTATATTATATGAAATTAAGAGCTTATATGGTATCACTGGAGATTGTGAATATCTGATCATTTAAGCTCTTAATATTTGGTTTATTTTTCCATTTCAAAATATGTGAGAAAAAAAATATGTCAAGTAAGAAAAATATTTTTATTACAGCAGAATGTACAGTAAAAAAAAATATGTAAAAAATAAATATGTATTTTTATATATATTATTATCTATTAATCAGCTCAAATTGTTGCTTTGGTAAAAAAGAAAAATTTTCTGGACGAATACAAATAAGACATCATGTCGTACTGTTACAGCATGTTATCAATTTTAAGTATACATATATATGCATATATGTATACATATGTAAATGTATAATAATATACATATACGTAGAGTTTCAATATATTATATGCTTATATGTAAGAGTAAGGTGCATGAGTTCATTTCATAGCGAATGTGCGTTAAGTTTGATAGAATCTATTGTAGAGCTTGATTTTGATATGTAAGCGCGTAGTGCATTTCAACTAAAGATTTAACCATGGAAAAAATATATTTTGAAAATAGTTTTATTGTTTATCAAGCGTTTAATATTAAATTTAATATTAAGCATTATTTAATTTAAAATGATTTATATAAATGCTTACGATAACTTAGTTTACAGTGCAAGAGTTATAATACCTACAACCTTCATGAAAAAAGTACATGAAACGCTTAACACTATACTGCTTTCGTTGCTTAAAAATACATTAAATAAGTTTATAAAGTATTTTGTTTAAAGCAAAAAAAAATTATTTTTTGCTGATATGTGCTTAAATATAAAAATTGCTAAGCAAAGCCTTAATAGTTTTTAACTTATTAAAATTATTTAATACTTAAATTTAATTTAATTTATACTTGAAAATAATCATCGACTAGAACTTCTGCGTTCAGGTCTGATGTCGATGTATTACTTTTTGTCTTGATCGTACCATTCGCCGAATCTCCACCAGTGGGAGATGGCTTTTTATTATCTTCAGGTGTCACCGGACTACTTAATTGTGTATCTGAATAGTCTGTTTGTAGCCTCTCGTATGGATTCTCTCTGTTAGTGTTAAGGTAAGATACTGATTCATAGTTTGGATCAGTGTCACTGCCTGTTAGAGATTCATATTGTGATAATGATGTTGGGGTTTGACGTGTACTTAAAGTGCTTGTACTTCTCGTAACATTTGTCGAAGAACTATTGTGCAGTATAAACGAAGAGTTTATTGATGTTGGAGAGGTTAAAGTATTTTCAGATAAGCGCGTTGTTAGAGTTGTGCTATCATCCTGTTCTGTCGACTTGCATGTAGTTGATGAAGAACTCAAAGGTAAACTCGTTGAATTTGATGTATGTGCTTCTGCTATATGTGCATAATGATCAGATTCAGTATCAGGTGTATTAATAGTTGCTTCGGCTTTTGTTTCTAAAATACTGGCATAATTATGATTCGTATCATTGTTTTTTGGCTCTCCAATGGTACTATAACCAGGAATGGTGCCATCATCACAATCTTCCCCACGTACTTTGCTATAACCATCAATAGTGTCATCATCGATTTTAAGTTTCTTTTCCGATACTTTGGCATAACCATCATCTGATAAACCTGCACAATTTACAGATTTATTAGAGTATTTTGGATCTTTCAGTACTTCATAGTTGGGATCATAGTCCGATGACTTTTTCTCGAGTCCAGGTTCATTTTTATTATTAGATTTATTAAGAGTTTCATAACCAGGATCATTATTTCCTGAATGAGGTCCTGCAATAGTTTCATAATGTTTTTCATTTCGGTAGGCAAGTTCCCTGTCTAAGTTTATCGGTGGTTTGTCTAGTCGGTTAATTAATTGGCTATTTGTATTACTGTTTACTGAAGACATTGATTCCTTTGGATCAACTGTAAGAGTAAAAAGTATTATTTAGTAACTTTACCAGACAAATAAAATTCGTGCAGCTTAAAAATGATTATTGCTAAATATATAGTTAAGATAACTACAAGATATTGTTGAAAATGAACAAAAAATGTTAAATATATATATATATATAAATATATATTTTTATAAGCAGTTATATAAAAGAAACTAATATTATAGTAAGTAGAAATAGTGTTAAGGAATAATAAATTAGATCAGTATAGATCTTAATACTTTAAATATTTTACCAAAATGTGCGGCAACATATGTTGTTGTATTATTAAATTATTATTAATATAATTTTAATTAATAAATATAATTGAATAAATAATTTATATTTTAATAATATTAACGGAATGGAAACACATATGTTTGTGTTTCAATAATTAAAAATTTAAATATTGTAGCTTTTCGTCGTATTTATTCAGGTAAGTCATTATTATTCAGTGAATATAGGTACGAAGGCATATTTCAAGAATGGCTGGGTCTACGTCTCAGAGCCACTCGTCAACCACAACGACCAAATGCAATTCACCACCCCCTAAAGGGATCTTAAAAGTAGATCTCTGCGGATTTAAATCAGACCATTAAATTCAGACTTTATATGTCAAATTTATATATAAATATAAGAAGTATGAGGTTGAATATATGTCCTGACATATAAGTTTGCGAATTATTTTAAATTTATAAATGGAATATCAGTTGAGAAACGTTAGGGTCAAATTGTTACACATTATTATTGGAATCGGTAAAAAAAAATTTTTTTTAATCTTTATAGTTGAAATAAATTAATAAACTATGGTTATGTATGGTCACATATAAAAACTGGTTTGGGGATAAATTTATAGACAAATTAGTTGAAAAAATGTATCACCGATGAATTCTTATCAGTGACTGGTGAAAAAGTGGCTTTTCTTAGAAAATTATTGGTCATGTCAGTACTTTCTGTTAAAAAATCTTTTTAAGTGATACAATAGGTATGCAGGTAAGTTCTAAGGGCGATGTTAGGGATACTCTTAAACCTATTCGTACATTGTGTTATGGTACAAACCTTGATTGGTTAAAAACCAACTGGAACGTTCAACAAAGATGTAATTTAAGGCAAGGACTTGTAGCATACTAAGATCAACTAAAACATAATACGGTGTTTACATTGTGAGATTAAAGCAATAATCGAGATTAAAGTACTAATCTCATTAGAAATGGTGATTATTTCTCTGTGTGTGAACTCTGTAAATGTTTTAATATCATAGATTTTTTTACGATCTTAGAAGAATTGGAAAAGAAATGTCAAAATCTAATCAAATCAAACATTGAAAATTTGAAAATGCAAATAAAAAATGAAAATATATCTCCAATGTATAATGTAAACAGTTCAGATTAAAAGTAAAGATGAACTTAATCTCACAATGTAAAGGTAGTATAAGTCTCTAGAATGTTTAATTAACGTTGCGGATGTGATGGATAGAATAAAGCATATGTGAAGCAAGCACTTTCTGGACTGTCACAATAACAATAATTTAAACAAAAATTAATACTTTATAATAATAAAAATAAATAAGAAACAAAAAGCAAAACAATTTTCTTAAAATAAATAATAAGGTAAATAATTATTTTACCATAATTCGTTTTGCAAAAATATATACTCGTAGCAACTAATAGAAAATTAATGAATCAGAGATAATATATTTAAAATAAAATATAATTATTTAAATACTTCGCATACTAACTAGGAATCAGTAATGTCTGATATTAAATAAATAGCATGCATATAGTTTATTTGAATATGTAGCGTAAATTGCTTAGATTTTTAGATTTGAAAACAAGCCTTTATTCATACTAACCGCTTCATCCAAATAAAAAAGTTGATATTTTTGTTGAATCAAATTGCAGAAATATTTCATTTTTGAAAAACTAATTTTGCAATAGAAATGTGGCGAAATAAATCAATTTTAATAGAGACAACAATAGAAAGGATTAGGAAAATTAGGACCAAAGCAACATTGGCAATTATTTTTTCTAGATTAAAATGCGAACTCACCACTTTCTTGCAGACGTTCCTTTTGCAATATATTAGCATAGCAATCCGATTTTCGATTTTCTATGCCGACGGCACCGCGCATAGCATCAGCAGGTATAGTCTCATAACTATGATCTTTAGCAGTATAGCTATTACTACGTGTTCGATTTTTTTCATTAATCGAATTAAATGCTATTCTACTACTTTCCAATAGTTCATCAGCTGCTGCATCGAGAGGGCTTAAACCAATTGCATTAATATTTTCATTGTACTTGCGAGTTAAAACGGGTGAATTATTTTGTGATGAAGAAGAATTTCTTGTTATTTTATTTTTCTTCATAACCTATTGATAAATTTATTATAACTATTAATTGTTTTTAATAAATAAATTATAATATAATAATATTACCTTAGCATACATGCCTTCAATATCTTTGGAGGGACTAAGACTTTTACTTTTTTTCTGTGGTGAATTATCATTTGTTGGTCGTTCTGCATTCTCTGTTAAAATACCACACTCAATTACAGATATAATAGAGCTACGCCCAGATGCTAGATTACTATTACTGATCGTATGCAATTGTTGTTGAGAAGAATTTGATTTTGGTGTAGGTGGTAGCGGAGAGTTAGCTTGGCGCTTTTCGGGTTTCGGTGAACCTAAATTACCCATTGATGAACTATTATTAGAGGATGATGAGGCCTGCCTCGAGTGCATTTGTGCACGTAAACTATCAACGGGCGGTGGTATGGGTGTTACGTGATCAGAAATCGGTCTATTGTGATTGATACTCTGTTGTGTTGAAACTGAACTAGGACTATGTTCTATATGTTGAAAACTACTGTAGTTAGTCCCTAGACTTGTGGACGATAAATTGCTGGAATTAAGATTATTTATCTCTACCGAAACTACAATTGAATTGGATTGCATTGGTTGGATTTGGGCATAAGTTTCTGAACCGCTTGTGTATATATCAGCCGTAAGATTGGGTATGATACGACCATTTGGATCTTCAATAGCAGCATAAGTTTCATCTAACCAAAAACAAAAAAAAAAGTTTATTTAGTTATTTTATTAATTAAAATTTTGTTGTTACAATTCACTACAGTTCGATAAAAAACTCTCTATTGAAAACAATAGTTTATATTAAGAATTTAGTTTCAATAATAATTTAGTAATTATTATTGCGAACCCAATTTAATTAACATTTAATTTAACCGAGCTTAAGGTTGATTATTTAACGCTTATTAATTTTTTTAAAATATTAAGTGTTAAATAACCTACCTTAAGCTCGGTTATATAGTACTGGCTGCAAACGCCTTATACTCTCACACTGTGTCTACACAGGGTATGCTTTTGCACACAGTTCTTCACTTCACTTCTTCACTAACATAAAACTCTGGGCTAAACCTAGCTAGTGAATACACCGTGTTAGGATAAGAAAGTGTTTAAATTCAAAATTTTCCTTGAGTTTTAACAATATAAACTATAAGATAAACTATAATATAGAATAATAAAAATTATAAAATAAATATATTAGGGAAATGGAAGTTATAATTCAGCGAGTGAGAGAGCGGTAGAAAATATGATATAGGATATAAATTATTTGGAAATATAAAATATTTTTATACTACTCAAAAAATTAGTTGCTTTTTAATTTCTTCAAATACATTAAATAGTATAATAGCTAATTAGTAACATTCAGCTGCGGTTATATGTGTGATATAATTTATAAAAGGTGACTATTTGTAGACTTAAAATAGCAATAATTAAATTGATATGGAGCAAAAGATAGGAGCATAAATCATTATTTACATCTTATGTGATCATTTGTTTGCTAATTTAGGAGATATAAACTGTCATTAGTAACCTTTAAACGATTAACTTTAAATACACATTTGTGTTAATGCTTTAATTCTATAATGCTTTTGTGCCTATAAAAAAAAAGTTACCTGAATCATCTGATACTGTTGCATAATGGGAATCATTTACATCTTTTGTTAGTGGTGCATTTCTTTTTACTGGCTTTGCTGGTTGCTGTGCTAGTATATTAGCTAATGGTTCACGTACACTAATACTGGTATAGCCTTCTAGAAAATGAATAATAAAAATGTTGGTAAAATTCATTGATCATAAGCTAATTTACTTGAGGAATCTTGTGAATCGCCACTGAAATGTTGACTTGCTATTGGTGGTGTCATATATGGTAAGTCCTGGCTGGCTGATATCATACCGGCTATTGCGGATGCTGCTGGTATTTCAACTTGTGATGTGTTATCGTTGAGATTAAGCGAGGAACCACTGTGATGTGAATTTCGATTTACTGATTCAGTATTTGTAGAATTTTGGCTGTTATTCGTTGCAGCAGCTTGTGCCACTGCGGAAGTTGATGGAACATTTAATTGTGCATATGGATGTTCGGTAGAACGAACCTAATGAAATATTTTGTAAATAAATATTAATTTTAAATTCAACTATTTCGATCATATCATTAACTTACTTTAGCGTAATCATGTGGTGAGTTTTTAACACGAGAATAAGGTGAACTTACATCGTCAGCTTGGCTTATAGAACTGTGTTGAGAAACACTGGCAAGTTTTTTCAAACTAGGAGAAGCTAATAAACAAAATTATACATATATATATACATTTTTTTATACTCTATTTTAATACGGTACGTACGACTTTTGTCCTGGCTGTCTTGTGCATTCAATTGTCTTTTGTCAGCGACTGTTTCGTATAGTTCGGACCCGTTATCGCCATTAACCTCAGCAACGGGTATATCCGGTAAGCTGCGGTGTGCAGCGGTGCTTGCTCTAAATTGCATTAATATATAATAAAAATTATACAAAACATTAAATAAAATAAATATATAAACCTTTTCTCCGAATCTGCATTTGAGATTGTAGATAAATTTAGATCGGCCTGTGACTCACTAACACCTAGTGTCGTAACCACAATTACTTCATCGGGGTTTTTCAGCTTGACCATACCCTCAAGACCGAGCAGGTCATTTCTAAAAAAAAATATAAAAGAAGAAAGGATTTGTATTAAATGTAATATTTTGTGTGCATATTTTTAATTTAAATTGTGTCCATATTGACGGATCAATATTTCAGCTGAAAAGTGATTAGTTGCAGTGCTCACTTTCCCTTGCAAGCAACAACAATTTCACTGTGCATACCAATACAAAAAGAAAAAAGTTTCACTCACTTTGGTAATTTTTTCTTGCAACATAGGCACGCCGCTAACATTACGATTAGTGTTAAGGTAACATTAATGGTCATAAGGAGCACGTAATAACTATGTAAGTGGTACTCTGGACTCATAACTTCCAATATAAACTATAAATCTATAATACGCTTGTTTTGTTTTATTTTAAATCCGCCTTGCGGTCGCGTTGTACTTGTGAAAGTAACATAATAAATTATCTTTATTATACTTCTTTTAGGACACTTTTTTGTAGAAATTTTATTGATAAATTACTTATCAAAACTTTTGTTAAATAAAACAATATTTATACTTCATAAATTAAAGGAATAAAGCACTTCTATATATGAAAAATGAACAAAACATCTTGTTTTTCTTATTTGGCACACCTTTCATTTTATGTCAAAACTTATAAAGTGAAAGAATCAGCAGCGGTACAAAATGAATATGGACCATTATTTGACATTTCGTGCATAAGGTACAGAACGCATCAAGATTTTCTAGAAAAACGTAAAAAATATTTCTTAAGAAACTTTAGCAAAAAGTTATTTGTTTTTATATGATAATTGTTTAAAGGGAACTATAGACAGTCAAATTAATTTAATATATATTCAGATATGAAATTTTTGACAAAATATTTTGTTTTTTCTTGATATGACTTAGGCATAGTCGTCCACGTCCACCCAGCTTAAAAAGACAAAAATGAATGCATGAACATTCGATTTTTTCTAAAATTCACTCGATTTAAACTATCGCAACGACGAAGATAATCAATAGTAAAATTCCTTGTATAACTAGCAATATGGAAAATATGATTAACTTATATTTAATATTTAAAGGAAGAAAAATTAACAATTACTCTTTACTATAAATAAATATCTGAAATGCCTTATTATATAGAAATAGAACTCGCAAAGCGGCGAGAAGAGAATTGAAAGAAATTAAACAGGTAAATAGGGGTGCATAAGGGGAACAGTTAAATCGTAAATGTTCTAAATTCTTACCGCCACATGATGCATTCTGGAAACAAAGGAGAAAAATCTTTTAAGGCCATTCCAACATCTTTAATTTAAGGGCTTAATAGACTGCTTATGGAGAGGCGGAAGAGCCGTCAGTTTACAAGTGTTAACCAAAAGATCGTCCTATTCAAGTAAAAATAAATAACGCAACTCTTAGATCAATTTATAGAACCGAGTGTGTCATTATATCTAACGCTTTTCGACATTTATAGAGCAGATATACCGAGACCACAACCGATAACTTTAGCATTATTTGCTGATGACGCTTTACGCTGAAATAGTATCTATAAATATATAAATAAAAGGTCACTTTCGTTACTATATAGCATCATCCGCAACAATTCATCATGTGATCTGTCAATTAATAATCTCAATTGATCATGTAATCAGTCGATTAATGATCATCAATTGGTCATATAAACGGTCGATTAATAATCATTAATTGATTGTGTAATGTGTGAATTAATAATAAATTCAACTGCGGATCCGCACATTACTACAATAACTAATTCATCTCATTCTACACATTATCATAATGGATCAATTAATATCCTCACTGTGTTGTGGTTTAGGTTAGGTTAGGTTGAGTTGCTGGCTTTGTAAATCACATTTGGGCGTAAATAACGGTCTGTTATAACGGTCCTCCGATAAATGTTTTTCACACGCCAGATGAAGGCGACCATTAATAAAAGTACAAAGTGCGAAGATTCGTCCGCGCACGAATAACAGCACAGCTCGAGAAAAAAGCACTACACCCCCATATAAGTAAAATCAATCAACTTAAAGAGGCTAGCTTAATTTTGTAGGATAGATGCTCTTTAAATTGGTAAGAAAACAGCCTCCAAACATTTTTAATATTCCACAGGCCAAGTTGGAACTGTCGTATGAGGTAAAACACAGTTTTCTTCTAGTCAGCAGCGTCACAAAAGACAAAAGACAGACATTATGGAATGATTAGTTGACCATTTCTAATCGGTTCTGACAGTTTTGTTAGATATACATATAAAACTTTTTCACAACTATGAATATGTTTTCCGAACTCCGAACTCCTTCCTGGCTATGTGAATTTTTGTTATTTATTTTTTGTTTAAATCTTTAAAATGATTAATAAATTTATATTTTCAATATATTTGGCATTAATTAATACAATTTTAATTTATAAAATCCAATTACATTTCTCGCTTTCAGTAAATATACAAAAAAGAAAACAATTCCGGTAGTTGAATGTCTTGCACTCTGCGGATGTTGGTTCTGTTCGTGAAAATATAAATAGCGAACGCTAAATATAGACGTTTCGGCAAACATTGGGTCGAGATCTGACTTGGAAGAAAATTTACTATTAGTTCTGTTTAAAGAATTCTGCCAGAAGTTCTCTAAAAAAAGATAAGTAAATTGGAAAACTAAAAGATATTTCCATTAATTTCGATTCGATGTCGGTTAAGATATATAAACTTATAGGAAAAAAAAATAAAATAATTTAATTTAAATAATTTAACTTCTATTATAAAACAAAAGAGCAGAGTACCGTGAATTACGTCGATTAATTTAAATACGGAAAATATTGTGATTATGGCGAAAATTGAAAAGGTCTCCACGGAGAAGCATGAGGGCGATGCTACTTGCGTGGCTTACTACAATAATCAAGTGTTTTCGGGCGGTGCCGATGGTAAAATCAAAGTCAGTATAATTCCATATAACAATTTGTTAATGTTGTAATAAAAGGAAATACACTCAACAAATAGAAAAAAGCAAAAAAATAAAAAAAGAAAATAATAAAAAATAAATAAAAGAGCAATAGCCAATGACGAGGCAATGGCAAACTCATAGTTCGCATCGCATACGCACAAAATAAAATCCATAAATGTGTAATCTAATGTAATGTGTAATTAATTTCCCTTACAGATTTGGGATAATGATCTAAATCTAATTAAAACAGTGGACGCACACGAGGCGTATATTTATGCCATAGCAATAAATAGTAATGGCAAAGTCTACTCGAGTAGCTGTGATGGATCTGTGAAATTCATGCTCCCACCCTACGACAATGAAAACGTGCAGGAGCTGTTTTGTTGTGAAGACGCAATACAGTCGATGTACTGCGACGGTGAAACCTTGTACACGGGCGATGATAAGGGTGTCGTTACAAATTGGATAAAGGACAAAATGGTTTTTAAATATAATTTAGTTGAAGAAGTTAAATCATTAGCGGCGGAGCAATCATTGATATACACAGTGCGTGATTTGGATGTGGTTGTATCGGAAATGAACTCAACGAAATCGGGTAAATATAGTAACAAAGCAGTATTTCCTGGAAAATCACCTTTGACATTTGCCGGACCTCTTGTGGACAAAAAGCGTACTTTCCTAGCTTTCGCAGATCGTACTGGTATGGGAATAGTGTTAGTGAAAAATTTGCCACGTCTCCGTTTTGAAAATGTATGGAAACTGCCGGTTAGTTGAAATATTTTTAAAATATTTAAGCAATTTTATATACTTACATTATTAAATATTCTTGAAACAGAATTGTCATGAGATGATTGTGAATTCCATATGCGCTGATGAGAAATTTCTCTATTCCGGCGGTTACGATAATAAAGTTAAAGGCTTAACTGATTTAGATTCAACTAGACCAAAAGATATTGGCGAAGTGGACGTTGGTAGTTGTGTGAATTTCTTATGTTGTGGATCGAATAATAATGTTTTTATTGCTACAAGTGATGGGCTCATACGAAGAGCGAAATTCGTTTAACAGATTACTTAAGAATTATTTATAACTGAAAAAGTACATTGTAGATTAAAAATTTATATTATACAAAAATATTACTATCTTTTCTGTTTATGTCTTTTCTAAAGAAAATCTTAGTAATTCTGTTTATAGTGCGTATAAGATTGTCAAAATATGTATATACATAATTCTGATAATTACAGGTAGTCTATGCCAGAAATACATGTCTGGTGACCGTAGTGATACATACATATTATTAATACATTTAAATTTAATATATTATTTATAAATATGTATGAATGTATAGGAAATACATACACAAATAGTTTCAATAAATACTTAAATTTTATATAAATATTGCAGTAAAACTTCATGTATATCATATCATTAAATATTACAAAACATTAAAAACACTAGATGAAATGCTTCAATCATAGTCAACCAAACTATTTAACGGTATCGATAACATTTAGATTCAAACTCCATTAACATAAATATAATATCAGAGGTTATAAGTAACCAACTTTATGAGTTCATCCTTAATCTAAAGGATCAGTCCATAGTACATATTTGATATCAGACTCTATTATTATAAGTCAGCCGATTTCAATAGTCGAAATATTCTGGCATCAAAGTGTAATATTTTAAGTTAAACGGCTAAATGGGGGTAAAAGAACCAAAGAACCAGTATATATAATTTGAAGACAAAGTATAATATTTGAAGGTAACCGATTAAATGAGATTTAAATTCAAATAACCAGTCAAAATAATTTGATCAAATATTTAAACGTAACTGACGATGAAATTTAAATTCATGAATCAGTCGATATAGTTTTAAGTCAAAGTCCAATATTTTTAGATTATTGATTTATTGGGGATTAAGAATCAGTTGACATAAGCTCAAATATTTTAAGTTACCCGGGTAAATGGGGATGGAATTCAAAGAATCGGTATATATAATTCGAAGACAAAGTGTAACAAATATAAGTGTCAAAATATTTAATTTTTTTAAGTCCGCTTATATGATTTCACTGAAGTTAGTGGATTATATATTTCTGTAGTGAATACAATATTTTATAATATCTACCGACTTTTTAGAGCCGTTTATGAAAGTAAATAATTTTTACTCTTTTGACGGCACATTAATAGAATAAAGCTTTATAATGTATAGTAATTTTTCAAAATACATTGTTTATTATTCGACTGGACCTTTTTCTTAGTGTTATAAAGACTAAAGACTCAATCTCGCTTATGTTGGTTAACTTACAATATTAGACTTTGAGTCCAAATAATATCGATTGTTTTTTAGACTCCATCCCCATTATGCTTTTTGGCCAGTATGCTTTTTGTTCTTGACCATATCAAAATATTAGGATTTAATAGGTGATTTTCTTGAAAAACCAAGACAAGTAAAATTATGTGAATCTCGCAAGGGTCTGGGGGCCACAGTATTCCGGGCACAATTTGATAAAGAACAATGGAAGGCGAGTTAAAAGATACAAATCATTCATAGAATGCTATCGTTATATATTCTTATAACAAGTTTCGATTTAAAGTGTAGATTATATATAAGTAAATACATATATGAATAATAGGTAAATAAAAAATTCATCAAAAAAAGAAATTTTTGTTAATAAACATCCCTACTTTGAAGGTTCTTTGTGTGTATGTTTTTAATAGTCCAAAGGCGCATATAATTTTCTAATATTTCATTATCAACATTTCTAGTTACTATTACAGAAGTACATAAGAGTTGTGTTGTTTTTATTATCTTTCAATTATCTATTCAATAGGTATATACTCACTTGATCTTCACTGAATACGTCAATGGTCATAAACAAAAATACATAGTAAAAGACTCGTGTTGCTTTTACTATCTTCACATTATCTATTCTATATTCCCTTGAACTATATTTAATACATCTTTAGTTATAAAATCCAAAAATTGTTAGAATTGTATTATTTTTAGATTATCTTGATTTCCATTAAATACGTCCTTGATCACTGAAGGGATATGCTGTCAAATTTCCATGATGTTAGGATGAATAGAAGCGGACTTGTTGCGTTTGCAGCGATTACTATAGAACCATTAACAACAAATATTTTGTTAAAAATGAAAAAAATTCTCACTCATTTCTTTTAAACTTTCATATTTATTTGTTTTAAGAAAGAACTTCTCTTTTTAAAATTTAATTTATAATTTTTATCATAATTTTAATTTATCATATATACAATTTTATGCTTGTAAATTAATTAGCAGACATACACACAATATAAATATCACAAAAATACCAAAATAGTTAATAAATATTATTTTTTTGAAAAAATTAAATACAAATTATTTAAAACCTAAAAATAATTAATTTTGCCCTCAAATTAATTAACATAACATGTCCTTTCTCTTTTGAGGATTGTCCTTCTGCATTAAAAAAAAAATTTTGCTTAATTTTTAATAAAATTTTAATGCAATTTATAATAGTTTTTTTCCTATTTGTTTTATTTTTTAACAGTAATATTATTTTTATTTTTTGACTTACATCTAGATTTTAGCAGTTTTTTTTTTTAATTTGTTAATCATTTCAATTAATTAAATTTACTTAAATTTCTGTTAATTTTAATTGTCGTAACTTGTTACGTTTGACCTACTGAAGTTGTCTGTGGTTTACGCTTGGTAGTATTTAATTACAGTTGATAATAGTATATATATTTATTATATTATCTTACATTTTACACATATAAACACACAAATGATTAACTAATATATATAAATATATATATGTATGTATATATAATAATACATAGTGTCATATAGTTACATTACACAAATCGGTTTATGCAGTTTAATTTTTTGTTTGTCTTGCTATGACTAAGTGTTGACCACAATATTTAACTTTAATTAAAAGCTTATGAAGCCTTTAATAAATATCCTGATGGCATGTTATGTGTCTGTTAATATACCATATATTCATTTATTTAATTAATTATTTATACATATAGCTACAATATTAAATATTTGTACAATAAAATTTGTTGAATATTTTGCATTGTAATTGCATTTAATAATTCGTTGACTATATTTGAGTTAAGTTTTTGCTGATTTTATAAAGCAGTATCCGGAAGTACTTTAAATTTAAAGGATGTCTTTTAGAAACATCAACAACTGTGGAAAATAGTGAAAGCTAATATGTTAAAGAAATTATATAGTAATTTAATACTCAATTTTTTTAAAAATCGTGTCAATAATTATTGTTAATTTAAGCTTTAAATGTGCTTCACTTAATCAGAATCAAAAAAATTCATGAAGTGGTTTAAGTTAATGTGATGTACTCAGTAGCGTATACAAAGGTGAATGGGCTTTGAATCCCGAAACACTCCAAAAATATTTTGGACCATTCTATATCAATTATTTTTAATATGCTTTAATTAAATGTTTATTTAAAATTAATTATTTCACGGGCTAATTGGTCAGTTATTAAATAATGATATTTTTTTAAAAAAATAAATTTTTATTATTTAGTTTTAAACGATTTTTATACTAAATAATAAAAATTTTTTTAAAAAAATATCATTATTTAATAACTGACTAATTAGCCCGTGAAAAAATTAATTTTAAAAAAATTTCTTTTGGTCATTAAAACATTTAATTATTAAAAGTTTATGTATACCTTTTGAATAAGTATAATTTATTTTTTCTATTAACTGATTTTCTATATATTTGTAATTCGTTTTAAAAATTCCTTCTCAAAACATTTTAGACTATTTTACATTAAATATAATTAATTTTTTTATATTAAATGGTTTTCAACATATTGCCAATTTCTTTTAAAATATTTTGGAATATTTTACATTAAATATAATTGACTGAATTAAATTTTTCTAATCTAGTGGCACAAGTTAAAAGCTTTAAATCAATTGTAACAAAAGTTTCAAATATATGTACTTTTCCAATGGAAATAGAAGTAGCAACACAAACGATCGAGTGACTATCGTATTATATTAAGTGAACAAACTTTTCTAAATTCACTTTCCAAAATTTATAGAATATACAAAGTAAACAAAATGAGAATTATAATTGATTTACTTGATATTTTTCAAATAATTGTACTCATATGAACTTACTATGAACATACTAAATATATTTCATGTATTATATATATTTTATTGATATATTTCAATTAAATGTTTCCATCTGAATTTTTAATTTAAGCACCAAAAATTCTGCCTTTGTATATGTTGTTGAATGTATAATTAGGCTGGCTTACGTTATTAGGGGGAAAATTACAAATGAACTTTTAAATGAGCCTTTAGAAACATCGCATGGACCAAAAAATGATATTTCCGAGGTATAGGAAATTTTGGAGGAATATGTTAGAATATAAAATGACGTTGCACCACTCGAGCAAAGTTAAGTTTTCAGTTAAAAAAACGGATATTTTTCGATTCAATTCTATTAATGAACAAATTAATTAATAATTAAGTGAAATAATTAAGTTAATTAATTAACACAATTTTCAAAAACAAAATTCATAATATGATTTACTAAAGTAATAAAATTAGGTTTTGATAATGTTTTTGTTATTAAGTGACACACATCTCTTGTTTATATATACTTCATACTTCATACAGCTTTATTTTATAATAATTTATTTGCAATAGATATTTTGTTATTTAGCGATATTGTTATTTCACTTAAATGAACTTTATATGTACAAACATATTTGTATTCTACACGACACAACATCATTGTTTTTGCAAATTTGCTTTTTTCTTCTTAGTATATAAATTTTGCACTTGAATGGATAATTCTTTAAGCTCTATCATTTAAGCTCTATAGAGCCCATTAAGTTCTATCACAAAAACACAAGAGATCAATTCAAATAAAAATTACAGAATACATTATGTAGTGGAAAAGGTCAGAGATGCGAATACAATTAACGATGGCATTAAAGATAATAACAGTAGAAATTAATATAGTTTATTTCCTAAAGAAGCGAATATTTACAATCACTTTAATTTGTTAAATTTTTTATCGAAAAATTAGAAATAATTTTATTACTTATAAATTACTACTTATCTGCGACTACAGTTCCACACGTACATATAATACTTTGGTTTATAATAGTTTCCTAAATATATGCTAGTATCTTCATAATTAAAAGTAACTCATTTTATTAATCATAAAATTACAAAATTTACATTCTATTCGAAATTGATTTTTATTTGAAATGGATTACTAGCCATAGGATAAAAATAATTTTTACTTAAAAAAATTTTCTTTAAACTATAAATCAAAATTAGAGAAAAATATAAATTCTTATGATAGTTTTATTGCTTCTTCTCTAAATCTTTTAGTAACATTATACTAATTGTAATTATTTACTAAACTTACCTTAGGAAATGAATATTTTTATCACATATATTACTCTTAACACTACATATTTCAACATATTACATACTAAACATTAAACCTAATTTCTTTATACTAATAAAATCATAAAACCTTCTTACCAAATTACCAAATCTTAATTAAATAATATAATGACGACATCGTAGTTAACTTAAGCACTTCTAAACGTACACCAAATTACCAAGGAGTAAAAAAACGATGGTTATCTGTTCGGCATAACGTGCATTCTTAATATCCTTTAAATTATACGTCTCGTCCTTTTTTAAATATAAATTCAATGCAATTAAAAACTTATAACTTTTTTATTGCAATCAATTTCTATAATCTATGTATAATCTTAAGTGGGGAAAGCGCATTATTTTGAATAGGTTTATTCCGTCTTATTTACATTTATTTGAACTGCTACACATAATAAGCATTGTAAGGATTGCGCTTTTGTAGGCAAGGTAAAACACATTCCAGTGTATTGCGAAAAGCTTCTCGGAAATCCCGATTAAAATACGCATAAATCAATGGATTCAGAGTTGAATTGAAGTAACCGATCCAGAATAGTACCACCACAACAACATCTGGACAAGGGCAGGCAGCACCACATAGTGAAGTTATAACATACCTGCGGGTTAAGATAAACAATTCAATACAATATACTTGATTTAATAATAATAATAATTGAATAAAAAATATTTATAATAATAATATCAATTTTAAAAATCAATTATGATGAAGGAAAACAAATTTTAAAAATAAAAATTACAAAAAAAAAAAAAATGAAATTAAATAATAAAAAGAATATATTTTAATTATATTCAATACTTTAAATGACGAAGGAAAAACATTATTTAAAAAAGGGTTTTTTGAATAGACGTGAATTAAAACAAAATTTTATTTATGAATTTCTGAACAGAGGTGGATTACAACAAATTTTATTATATATGAAACAAAAATAAGAATTTAAATAAGTAATAAAAATCATTTGTTTTAATTAAATTCAAAATATTAAATAGCGAAGAAAAACTATTTTGGAATAGAGGTGAATAATAAAAAATTTTTATTATTAATGAAATAAAAAAGTAAATTGAATTAAGTAATAAAAAAAATTTATTTTAATTATATTTAATATTTAAGCTTAAATTAATAAAAAATCATATTTTATTTTGTTTAAAGTCGTAAGTATTGCAAAACAAAAATTAAGGTATTTATTTAATATATATATCAGTTTTTTTCAGTCTTAGCGTACATATATAGGGTATTTTAAGACATAAGCTAATGTTAAATTATATATCACAGAACTATCATTAAACTTCACTAAACCTATAGCTTATTTTTTTTTGTGTACAATATATATATATATATATACGTATATAAGAATTATTCATATTCCAATATTTTTTATATTGTATTATTTTGTTTAATTTTTCCTTTAGAACGTTTTAACTTTCTTTTTTAATTTCTTTATATATATACTTACCACAAAAAGAATGGCAACCAGCAAAGTAGAAAAACACCCATTATAATCCCTAAAGTGCGTGCAGCCTTATGTTCAGCCTTCCATCCTTTTGTGGGCCTAACAGAACCACCTGAAAAATGTTTATAATAAGCAATCAATGCGATTAATTATCTTTATTAAAAAATAAAACAGACTGGCAATGCTGTAAATTAAACGCATTTCAGAACATTTTTATAACTCGTATATTTATATGAATATCACTCATTATATATATAGATATGTATAAATATATATTTTAGGCGAAAATGGCATTCATTGTAAATATTTTTTGATATTATAATAAAGTTAATAAATAATTAAAAAGGAAAAAATTAATAGCAAAATATATAAGAAAATTTATTGATGTTATTTTATACTTGAAAAGATTGAAATATGAAAAAAGTTGTCTGATGAGAATAAAAGTTTAAATGTGAATAAGAGTAATATAAATGTAAGGTATTTCATTAATGATATAAATACTTGTGTGTTATTGCAACTATCAAAAAAATTTGAGATTTTTATGCAATATAATAATACATTATTTACATTATTATGTATGCATCACAATATATTTTAATATTTATTATCTATATTTTTAACAGTGTTATTCTCTAACAAAAAGGATTATATTTGAAGCAAGACGGATTAAGAACGTTTGAAATAATTATAAAAATTTTGGAGTAGTATATTTAGTCTATGCAAAGACAAGATCAATAGTAATTAAGTATAAAGAAATGTTCTTATTTTCAGTATACATTAATATATATATTAATTATATTTCCATATATTTAAAACGTATAGAAGTTTGGATATATCTATTTTAGTTTTAAGTAAATAGTACATTGAAATGAACAAGTCCCGAAAAAAATAAATTTCTTTAGAATCGATTTCATGAAAAAGTTAATATAGAATTAATTAATAAATAAAAATTATACCAGAGCTTTATATATTATTTGTTTAATATAAATAAATCTTTTGCAACACTGTAACATTTATTTTATGAACTATAGTCAGTGGCGTAACTACAGGGAAGCAACTGGAAGCAACGCTTTCGGGCCCCCGAATTTAGGGGGCCCCACTATAAATTTTTGTATTCATTGTATTTCTTTTTAATAAATTCTCAAAAGTGGGACGAAACGTTTTTTGTTGGAATAATTTCATATTGCATTTTATAAAAGATACGTAAATTTTAAATTTAAAGTACATAATATGTATGTACTTCAAATAAAATATTAAACCTATTTATGAAATAAAAAAGTTTTTCTAAGAAAAATATGTGTCTTGATCGAGAGTTTATATGGAAGCTATATCTAAATTTAAACCCATTTGAAAATAATTTTGTACGTTGTCTTTTGCAAATATCAGTACTGTATACACCATATTCCATTTGAATACCTTTATTAAAAACGGAGAAACCTTATATCCGATTGTTTAGTTTATATCACAGCTACAAGAAATAGACGTCCAATTTCAATCAAATCAAATGGTGAACAGGGTGCGCTCCCGAAAAGTATGTGTATAAAGTTTTATTCGAAGAGTTCAAAAGCTGAGAGAGTAGTTTGAACTGTAAAAGTATACTGATATATACTTAATGGTATTTCCGAAGTTTCCTTTAATGCGTTACGAAAATATTGACAAACCTTATATACCCTTTTTACATTTTTTCGTGTAAAGAGTATAAAAAGAGGGGCCCCTTAGTATGTTGGTAGGGGCCCCTTAGTTAGAATTTGCTTACAGGCCTAAAAAATGTAGTTACGCCACTGACTATAGTCATCATCAGAATCATCCATAGCTATACTACAGTCCATGTAGAATCTAAGCTTGTTTTACGAAATTCTCCCATTATTCTCTATTTTTGGCTTTTAGCCTCCAGTTGATGACATTCATTTCTCTCTGATTTTGTCGAACACTGTCATGAACTATAGTGAAAATAATTAATCACATAAGAATGATAATAATTAATTTTCAAAGGACTTCGATATTAAATGTATTAAACCAACTATAATTTCATTTCAAGGGACTTCTATATATTTTACTATGGTGCATATATGATTTGAATATGAATTCTTGGCTTAAGACATAGCGGAAGTCATATAGGAGAGAAGATCAATATATTATATAAATTTTTCATGTGATTTTCCTTTAATCATGCACTATTTTTTCGTATATAGCTTCTGAAGAGAATAAATATATTTGTTGAATAATAAATATGTTAGACAGTTTTGCTTTAGAGACGATTAGTGGAAGACAATTTTTCAAAAAAATTAAATTTATTAAATTAATTAAACCTATTTTAATATGAACACATGTTGGACAGAGTATTCAATGACGATTAAAGGACTATACAGCATACGAATTTTTTGGTTAAAAAAATTTAATTTGAGATATTGGTGATATTTTAAATAAACGCTGTTTTCAGAGAGACTATTTTTTTTGATAAAATGTACCTTGGTAAATACTGGAAATATTACAAATATTATCTTAGAAACGACTTTTTTTTGTTTTTTAGACGCAGAAATCATCTAATATACCTAATATAGAGTGCATCATCATCCTGCTTATAATAAATGTTAATAGATTATTCCCTACTTTGCTTAGGTCGTTTAAGGAACTTATTCAAAGAAGGAGAATCTATATAATGCATATGGAAGTATGCATGCATAGAGATATTTTAAAAGAGATCGCAAAAAACGTTAATGGATAAACTTTATCTTCGATGATTTTATGTATAAGAACATAAGTTTATAGAAAAAGGAAGTGTTTATATGAAATAAAGAGCTTATATAAAAAGGAATAGTTTTATATGAGTTTAATAATATAAAACTTTGTAATTTATAATTTAATTTTAAATGAATGATTTTAAGTCAGTGGTTCTCAATCGGTCGACTACAGTTGATTAAAAAATGGACCGTGAATCAAATTGAACAGGTATGGATGCATACCTTGTAGTTTGTCCACTGAGACTTCACTTATTAGAAAATAAGCACAAGAAGTAGGTATATACCTATTTTATAATTTTATAGCCTATATAATCTATCTATGCACTTATACAATTCATTGAACATTAAACCAGAGATGCATATTAAAATCATCATACAATTTATTATTCTTAAACTTTGCAGTCTCTACTGAATACAAAAATATCATTGTTATAAGTTCCGAAATATAAAAATAAATAAAAATTCATTTATTTTATTTCAAAAGTATTGGTGTGATTTCTGTATTTAAAATAGCATTCTGTATGAAATTAATTACTATTAATAATTAATAAGAGGAAATAGTTGCTTTCATACAATGGAAGTAAATGGCGTTTGTTGGTGACAATTTCCTGCCTAATAAACAATCTGATAACAGAAATATATAAATTATCTGACAGTCACTTAAATGACTGTCCTCCTGCATTAATTGCTGAAATGTCACTACAGCTTTGATTTACCTCTTTTAATTGCACAACAATTATGTGCATTAATTCTTCGGCCTATTATTTAATTTAAAGTTAATTAAACTAATCTAGTATAGAATTTCATATCATAAATAAAAGCAAGCAATTTATTGCAATTCCAAATGGAATTTAATTTCCTCCTTCCATTGGGTTTGCATTCAAATGAATGCTCGCCTGCGAAATTACCTGCAAAGTGCCGTATTGATGTGTATGTTTGTGGTAAAAAGCATAATCGGTTAATAGCCATATTCGGTTACGTTACTAACTATTAAGATATATTAATTACGATATTAATTTCAGAACTTAATTAAACCGTACAATTGTGCCATGCTGCGAACTCCCACTACATAATCAAGTTCATGTAAATTCAGGCATAATAACTCAAACGAGCTTAGGTATAAATTAAGCGAATTGCTATCGGTGCTGTGAGTGTTTCAGACTAATGAATAACGTTTAAATAAAGTAGTTGATTAATGAACCTTAATAAAGACAGACGACTTAAGAATAACAACAACAAGTACATTTAGCAAATATGTCAAAAATGCGATTTGCAAAATTATATGAAAAAGTGAATGAAGCAATCTAAAATGTGCAAATGTATAAGCAATAAGCGAATTTAAGCAATTTCAGCAAAAACGTTTGAATTTGTATTATTAATGAAAAATGGGCATGGATTAAGAAGTGAAATATATATTTATAAAAACTTATGATTACGGGTATTCTTCATTTATTCCTTTCATATCGTCAAGGAACTTAAGCCTCAAGTTGTGTCAAAAAATATTGTAGCTGTCAAGTATTTAAACCTATATTCACACTATAAGTTATGAGGGTATCGTCATAAAATAGTTTATCTTCCTAAGCGGAATTTTAAGTGATTGAAGAAAGATATTAAATATTTATCAATAGTGGATAAATATTTAATATTTAGAGATGAAAAAAAAGTTATTTACATTAAAAGTTAATAGTGTATTCCCCAATTTGATAAGGTTCTTTAAGCAGTGTACTTAAAGAGGAACAGTCTATTCAAATCTAATACTAATTTGATAAAGTTCTTTAAGCAGTATACTTAAAGAGGAACAGTCTATACAATACTAATGGGAGTATGTATGTATTTAAAGTCAATTATAAAACAACGAATTCCAAACTATTAAAAATATTTTTAAAAATTTTGCATCCAATATACAATTACTTATTTTATTTTAACATTGGTATTATTACACTACCCTCGTCCCTACTTTTATGCCATTCGTACCCTTCCTTTTAATTTGATCTTAAGCTGAGACCGACATTTCAACATTTTAGTTCTTATGGCTGAGTTCGTCTATGCACACAGAACTGGCAAAATATTTGTGTTTATACACAGGAAAAATATTTATAATTTAATATAATTTAATGGTTTTGAAGATTTGAAATTAATTTAAATTAGTAAGCATTTTTGGGATTTATATTATATTATATTATTATTATAATTTATAGTTTTTACGAAAAAAAATCTATAAGGAATTTATTATATATTTTTTTGAATTTCTTATAGAATTATTTTTAATCTTCTATTTAAAAATTTTTGAATATAATTTTCGTAAGAAATATTAATCTCTTAAAGTTGATAATCTTTTTTTAATCGATCTAAATATATTTATACTATTACTATTTATTGTTCTTATGAAAAAAATATATAACAAATTAATTTTGTTTTTTAAAAGTTATAGAATTATTTTTAATATTGTACTTAAAATTTATTGAATGCAGTTCCCGTAAATAATGTTATTCTATTAAAGTTGGTCATCTATTCCTAATTGATGTGAAGATATTCATATTATTATAATTTGTCGTTTAAAAAAAAACATAATAAATTTATTATATTTTTACATAATATAACATAATAAATTTATTATATTTTTTTTAAATTAAGAATTAAATTTTTTTTTAAGAATTATTTTTAATCTTTTGAATATTATATTAGTAAGAAATATTACTCTCTTAAATTTGATAAGCTCTTTTTAATCGATCTAAAGATATTTATCCTATTATATTTATTGGTTTTATAACAAAAAATTATTAAATAAATTTATAATAGTTTTTAAAACTTATTAAATTATTTTTAATGTTATGTGAAAAATTTTGAATTGATATAGAGATATTTATATTATAATTATTATTATTTGTTTTCATGACAAAAAAAATAATTCATATTTTTTTTGGATTTTTTAATTTATATAATTAGTTAATTAAAATCATTTATTAAATTTTTTTAATTTAATTAATTATTATTTATTATATTAATTTTTTTTTGTTTTACTTTTATTTAAACAAAACGTTTATTTCATGTTTATAAATTTTTTATTTATAACTTTAAATCTTTTATCTCCAAATATTTCAATGTAATCCTTTTAAGCAATCACAATAAAAGCATTAAAATAAATTTTATTTATATTTAATAAACAATTTCAATTTCTAAAAAAAGTTTTGTATGATTGCATTTCTCATTAAGAGAGCCAATATGTGGTGAGGCCTTTCATGACTAAAACCGCTATATAATATATCAGTGTTAATGATTGGTAATACTTTTGAAGATAAATGAAATGCAAACCTTGTAATTCTGTTAACCACAAAAAAGCATAATGAATATGTACACTGCAAAAAATTTCATTTATCATAAAAGTAACGTCAAAGCCGGCGATGAGTGTGTGTGAGAGTTTGATTTGAGTGGATAGTACAACAATTAACGAAAGACAAAACGCAAACTTATTTACATAGAAGCACAAAGAATAGCAAACATAGCGCACATAAAAACGTTTTACAAAAACGAGCATTCAACTAGAAAGAGAAATTGTTATTGTAATTGTGGTTATAGTTGTAGTTGTTGTAGTAGTAGTATAAGTAGTGGTAGTAGTAGTAGTAGTAATAGTAGTAATGGTAGTGGTAATAGTAACAGCATTGACAGTACATAGTTGTTAAATTTAGTAGTAGTAGATAGAGAATAGTGCTTGCCGCTGTTCATCGTTAGTTTTTAATACATTTTGTTTTTGTTTTTGTTTTTTTTTGCAATTTTTTTTGCTACATATTTTAAACATTTTTTTTTATTTAATTTTCTACTTTAGTCGTGCAGTCGTGCACTGAACAAACCGAACAAACAAAATGGAATTGTAGCCATTTTGTTTGCCATACAATATTAAATCATTTCGTTTATTTATAGTTCAGCTAAGTTTCTCATATTATATCATGTAAAATGCATAACAAAAAATATAACTTGTTCATCTAAGTAAACTTTAGGTAAGCTCTTTGCAAACTCACCGGTAGCGCCACATTTACATCTGGTAAGGCATTGTTTCCGTTTAGCACGTTGCCAGATTTTTTTTTGCCAAAAACGTTTGTGCTTTGCTGTTGTTTGATTTTGATTAGTGACTGGATTATCGTTTTGTGCGGATATATTCGATTTTAAATCGGCACCACATAAACGACATTTGCCAATATTTGTGCGAGATTTTGTGCTGTTGTTGTATGGATTTTTAAACGTAATACTTTTCAATTGGCTATCGCCATTGTTCTGCTCTATCATATCAATTTCATCTTCATCAACAAAAATACAGATGCCACCACGTCTTGTTAGGGATGATTTATTAGATATATCTGGTTCTATTGTGGTTGTAGGTTTCATACATACATACACATTTAAGTTGAAATAGTTGTTTGGTACGTACGTATAGTTTACGAGGTTGTAACAACAAATACAGAAAGAGAAAATAGGGCATTTTGAAACATTAATACAATATTTACATATAGGATTAGGATATATGTATACATATAAATATATATGTTATATTTAAGGAGTATTATAGAGAGGAAGAAAGAGAGATAGATAGAAAAAGAGCACATGTTTTTTGTAATAAAAAATTTTTTAAATTATTTATTTTTTTTTTTTTATCAAAATGAATAAAAAAATTTTTGCAGGCAAATCATGCACGAGAATATCTTACAACTTTTTGGTTATAATTTTTATAAGTTATTTTTTTAGATTAATTTAGTTAAATTAATTCGATTAAAAGGAATAATTTAATAAATAATTTTTATTTAAAGTTTTTATTTTTGCTTAATAAATTTCTTTATTTTTTGTTTTATTTTAAACTTATTCATTAAAATGAATGAAATTTCTGAGATATATCAATATTATCTTAGGAAAATCAAACACATATTCAACTTAGATCAATTGATATAATTACAGTACAAAACAGCGATGGCGAACCCACGGAGTATAGAATAGTATAGTACAAATAGTCAGATGGCATTTGTGATCATGAAAGTGAGGAACTTTTTTGTGGTTTGAAACAATTTTAAAAGATACCAAGGTCTGGGCACACCAAAAGATCAACAACAGAAAAGTTCCAATATTTGGCATGCACTAATAGAAAGATTTGCTAGCGCTTGCATAGCTGACATCAAAAACTTAGGGTAGAATATACTAGGTGGCAGAATATAGGGAACACAAGCACTAACCGAAAAGTACCAATACTTGGCATGCACTTATAAAAAGGTTCGCCACTGCTTGCATAGCTGACTTCAGAAACTCTGGGTTGAATACACTAGGTGGCAGGGTATAAGCAAGGTACATTCAAACAATATTAAAGATTCTTGTGTTTTTTTTAAGAAATACTATACACAAAGCTTAAAAAAATAAAACTAAAACTTCTCATATAATTTTTCATATAAAAATTTATTAGAAATTCTTTATGTATAAGATATAGTGATCACAGAATAGCTCAACTGAGACTAACCTTGTGTTTTAACTCTGTATATATAGAAATTTTACAAATTGAAATACAGTTTGGGATTTGGTGCTCTAGAGTTCATATGAAGGTATAAGAACGACACATACATGGTGAATAGAGCAGTCTTTGTCAAGTACAAGATGACCTAAAAAAATGGTTTATTTATCATGAACAGGGCATGATAGAGCTTTCTATGTAAATTTCATAAAGGCGACAAATATCAGTATCAGAAATGTTAAATTTATGTAAGTGAAAACACAGATTGCAATGATCTGTAAAGTTACTAAATGAAGTACTTAGTAATTCTCATGCTGCTTTTATATAATTATTCGAGATCTGGACAGTGTGAGAAGATAGTTTCACCAGGTAATAGCCTTCATTATTCCGTTGAAATGAAATTGATTTATATTGACGAGTTTATTGATAAAATCAGTTTAGAATCTTTCATTTTTGGAAATTTTGGAACATTATTTTAGGCTAGGCAATGCATTCGTCTTGTTTTTTTAAAGTATAAGAGTTATAAGAGTAACGATCATTGAATAAGATCCTTGGTGACTTATGTAATTTAATACAAATTTATTTAAAATCGTGTTGCTTTCCTTCTTGTTTTCTATCAAATTCACAGCAATTGTTAACAACATATAGTGTTTGGTATCTAGTAAATAACTATTCTTCATCTTTAGTTAGATGAACGTTGTTTATATTACCAAAAATAAAGAAGATATAAGGATCGTGAAAATGTTTGAAATATAGTAAAGTTAGTATCGGACATTATATATATTCCGGATGGGTATAATAAAACAGACCATTGAAATGATGACTATATCTTTATTGCTAATAAATGCAAGTAACTTATGAGAGAAATTGGGTAGAAACCTTTTGTTCAATTAGGCAGATCAAGCCTGTCGATAAATTGACTTACAGTTAATAAAAAACATTAATAACTTCATAGATCATATTGAAGTTATAATAATTGTGAATAAGAATTAATTTTTGTGCTTAGTTGTAGCACTTTAGATTAATTTCTTATTAACTTATTGCTTTGATTTACAGAGTCATAAAAGCCATCCGTTCGGAAAGCCGCCATTGAGTAAAGACAACGCAATTCATTTTAGTGCTTTATTGCAGCACTTCAAAATATTTATTAATCTGTTGCTTTGATTTACAGAGCCATAAGGGTCACCCGTTTAATATGCATCCAGTATTTAAAAGTGGTTGTTCCGTATTATTTCGTGGGTGATTATTTTAGTCTACATACTTCCCTGTTCGCCTTCACTGTTTCGATATCGTCATCTTCTTGATGATTTTCGCAGTGATTTACTCGTTCCTTTTTTGTAATAATTTTATTGTATATATTAGATTTTTCTCCTTTTATTAACAAGTCAATATATATAGTTGTTTAAAGGAATTATAGCCATTTTCTTTGCGATAGTAATTTATTCTAAAAGCAACAAACGTGTTTATACAAGGAGATAAACACATAACTTTTTGAAAGGTTTCTATTATGGATATTAAGTAGACTATTAGGAATGATAAAGGTGGACTTGTAGTTTAAGAACTGATTTGTAATTTAATCTCCATAATCATTCATATTAGATATAAGTTCTGTGATTTCTGTGATTTTAATTTTATTTTGCTGTAAATCAGTCGAAACTTTATGCTAAAAACTATGGAGTGTCTTTATTTTGTTTTTTCATCAGCCGAAATTATTTGGATTTAATAACAACTTTAGAAAATAAAGATTACAAATGCATTCTATAATATGTTGTGTGATTGTTACAGATCGAGGAGGATAAACTTTATAATTTCAAATTATTTGGTGTCAGCATAGATTTTAAAAATTGTGCTAGTTCGAGTTGAAGAGGCTAAAACGTTTATAATATATATTTTCCAAATGTATGTCCTTTAAAGTATATAATGTTTTATAATCGCAGCTTTTTTATCTACAGTGCAGGTCCATCAAAACCTATAACCTAGGAGTAGTGTTTTTAAACTAAAAAGGAAGTCTTTTGAAACAGTGGATATTTAGCAAAACTGAAAGTGGAGATTCGATCCATATTACTGTATCCTTTTTATTTATTTTTCTTTTAAAAAATTATTTGAAGTACAACAACAACACACCTGTAAAGAGCCGAATTTAGATAATAAGAGTTCAGTTATATATTTGTACCTTGGAGGTCACCACAACAAAAAAACCAGACTTACTAAAACAGTAATTCAATTTAGATTACGAGAATCTATAGTTATATATTAGTAACTTTGGAAGTTAAAATTTTAAAAAAAACCAGACTAACTGAAATAACCCTTCAAGATTCAGTTTATAAATTACTTATATCACTGTGTGTTTATATAATATATTCGAAGAAAAAAACAAATAGCAGTAAGTTTTGTTTAATATGATACCAAATACTAAAGAAAAAATAAGCGATAGACTTACTTGCTGAACTGGTCGAAACACGTCCTAAAGGAATGTAGCTGCGACAATCGCTGTTGTCTTGTGAGAAATTTATGACATTTACGTCGTATGTAACCACTGAGGCTTGGCGTTTACGTACGGTTTGTATGCCTTCATAGCCTGTCAGTAAACTACTACGATGCTTTCCAGCTGAGGTAGTTGTGAGTGAGTTTTCCGGTTCGCTGTTCTGACGTCGGAATATTGGCGATGTTAAGTCTTTGTCCTCTCCTACCAAAGAGCCATCCACCCCATTATTGCCGCTGTGTATGGAAGTTGGCGAAAGCGTTGAGTCGAGTATGATTTCCGGTTTGGGTGGCATGTTTTGAATGGTGCTGGCTGTAGGTACTATAAGTGTCGGCTGCATAACTTGTTGTTGTGGAATTGGTAGTGAAGTGACCATATCTAATGAAACAGTGGAAGTATCACTTATGAATTGATTACTGCTAGGCGAAAGAATGGTGAACTGCTGTGCTGCTGCAGTGGGTGGTGGCGAGAGAAAGTACACATTGACTGGATTATTTTGTGTGTTTTGGTAGTTTAATGGTTTGAGTGCTGGTAAATGTTGAGCAGAATTGAAATTTGGTGTTGCTGGTGGGGACATGAAGAAGTGCGTATTGCTCTTTGCCACGAGCACCTGATCACTGAGTGTGCTTAAACGTTGTTTGATATGTTGTGTTGATTTGTGTTTAGATTCGCTGGAGGTTGTAGATGAATGCAATTTTCTACGTGGTGCTAGATCAGTAGGTTGTCTTTCAGCCACAGGAAAACTAAGTGAGCGAAAGAGTTCTACTAAATCAGTGCTGGATGTGATTATTAAATTGTTTTTGTCTGGTAGTTCAACAATTCGTTGTTCCTGTTGAATTTGATTGTGCTGCTCTAATATGACGGGTTCATTGAGCGAAGGCGGTGAAAGTGATGGAGGCGGTGTCGCCGGTATATGTGGAGATTCTGTAAAACATTCAGCCAATAGCGCAAAATCATCACTCCCAACTTCCTGTATGCTATTACTGCCCAAATCTATAAGTTGTATGGATGTGATATTGTGATGTTTGGGTGATGTTAGTGCTTCAAACTCGTTTGTTTGTATTAGCACAATATCTTGTGTGTTGGTATTGGTTTGTTCGTTAAGTACATTAATGTCTAATAGTATGTCAGGTGTGTTGAAACGACCTGGATTATCTTGACTTTCTGTATGCATGCTTGGCAGTATAACGTTAAAGTTATCTGTATCTGTATCACTATGTTGCCTAGAACGTGCATCTGCTTTGCGTTCTCTATTTCCAATAGCACCATTATAGCTATGTGATAGCTTTCGATTGCGCGAGCGTCTAAATAAATTTGTACGACTGCTGCGTATTTCTTCTGAAGTTGCTTGATGACGTTTCTTCTCAATGGAGAAACATTCAGTGCTGGAACGTTTAGTTTTCGTTAATAATGACATAATATTGAAACCTTTCTGTTCTTTGACGCTGCCTTCCTTCAGTGATTCCAATAACTTCCTTTTCGATTTTGTCTCATTCAAAGCTTTGAGAAACTCGGAGTCGCTCAGCGCAAACGGTTTCTTCTGTGAGTCACCACTTCGGTTACGATTTTCGCCGTTTTTCATTTTGATGAAATCAGTTTCACTCAAAGCGGGAAACTTGCTGTCACATTGCATTATTTCTGCAGTAGTTTTAGCATCGCCTGCCGTTGTTTGCTTCTTGTAGTACAAATAGTTATCTTCAATTAAACGCTTAAGTTCTTTATTATCCTCTGCGATTGGCAGAAATGTCATTGGGGCCTGTTGGTGCTGTTGTTTTATCTTTAAATTCAGTATGCTGTCATAGTAATCATTCGACTCACTATCATCGCTATTCAAGCCGAAAATTTGATATTGCTCAGATTCACAACCTTTTTGCTGTTTGCTTCTTTTGTGCTGTTGTTTTGTTTGTGCTGTGGGTGAATTGCTGTTGGAATGTATGGGTGATGAAGATGTGTTTAGTGGTTTGGAGGGAAATGGCTGAGATATATCATAGAGTGCATCTGCTTTTAATTGAGGACTGAAAGTTGATTCTTGTCCGCCTTGCAGTTGCTGTTGGGCTGCATAGTGTAGTGCAATCATGGATGGAGCACTGTCTGTGTGTGTTACTTTCTCATAGCGCTCTTGCTCTAGATCGCGTAAATCAATGCTACTTCGACTCAGACGTCGTGGAGGTGGTGAAGGAACACGTAACTCATCACATTCATCTCTTTCGTCATCATCAGTTTGCGGCAGTATATCCTGAATTCATTATTTAAATAAAGAGAAAGAAAAGAAAACATGCTCACAGTTAGTACAGTTTTATGTACTACAACAAAAATTAAAATATAATTCCGAATAAAGTAGAACTCTCTAATAAAGAAGAAGATATATGTACTCATAGTTAATTTAGTTTCTTTTTTATGAACTTCAAAAAAAGTTGAAATAAAATTGGGATTAAAGTAGCATTCTCTACGAAATGAAGTTAAACATCTTAAAGTAGTCATGCTTTCCAGTTGAAGTTAAGCATACCTCTAAATTGCTGATAGCACTGTGTGTTTCCTCCTTGGTCAGATTCAAATCACAGTCACTGGGATGTAAGTAATTCAGATTTGTAGCATGTTGCGTGTGTCCCATGTGCACGCTATTCAACAAAATATTTGAACTTGTGCGGCTTAAGGCCTTACGTTGACGTACCGCTTCTCTGTAAGAACAATAGCACAGCATTATGAATGGACTGAGTGAAAGAATGAAAACCAATATTTGCCATGTAATTAAACTTACTTATAAATGCGCCAATACATCACCAACATAACAATGCCTGGTATCCAAAAGCTAACCGAACTCGAGATTAACGCGTAGGCCTTGTTGACTACAAAAGAGCATTGATCCGGATTCAGCGACACCTGCTTTAAGTGTTCGGCTGTGGTATACCAACCAAGAAAAATGGGAGTAAACGAAATCAGCGCCGGTAATATCCAAACATTTGCCAACATAAAACAAACTGTTTTATGTGTCATGTTCAAGGGATACTCGAGTGGGCGTACAATGGCGTAGTATCTGGTAAATGCGTGCAGTTGATGACATGGGAGGTGTGTTAAATCGAACAGAATAGCAGCAAAAAAAGAAAAAGGAAACCATAATGTTAATGATATATTTCAGTACTCGTTTTTTTCACTTATATTTATTGCAAATGTGAGGGCATCAGCTGTTACATTTTGCTTAGAATATAAAAACTAATTAAAAACACAAATTCTGGCCATCGGAAACTCCCAAGTGTAAACCTCTTTTCATTCCTTCCAGCTTTGTTTGGTTTTGCTTTGCATTTAATGCTTTTATAAGAGGAAACCGAACAATTAACAGGCTTTGTTTGCCTTTTGCGGTTGCATTTAGGATAACATTAATCATTTTATTTGCCACATTGCTTTCATTTGAAACACTTTGGAAAGAATTGTTTTACTTTTTCACATAATAAATTTTCTGTTAATTACTAATTTTGCAGCAATTATTTTTTATTCTCATGAACTGACAAAGTTTCAGCGTTCATCATTGGATGCCATTTTCAGCGAGTCCTGAAATGGTATATGAGGTATACGTATGGGATGGCTTGTAATACAAGCAGCAATCAGATACACTCGTAGAACAGATGTAAATTAAATTTATTCCATTTAAGTACTTTAATATATGCGATTATTTATTACAAATGTGAAAAGTTTCGAAAGAATCGTAAAACAGTAGACAATGTCTGGATTGTTTAATTATTGCTCTCAGACAATAGAAGTATAGTACACATGTAATTGAATACCCAGCAAAGATAATGAAGTACAATATATTCTCTCTCTCTTTTAGTTGCCTACTCAAACACAAAGGAGAAAATTTATTTATTATTTAAATTTTCCCCACTCAGAAAAATATGCTCTGCTAGTTAAATTGACCCCATCATTTTGTTAGTAAAATTTTAGCTCATGTGGTAAAGTAGATGTGAAAACTGACATGTGTGATTTGTTTGAACCAACATGATTCATTGAGTAAGAATAATTTAACCAGAGATTTAGTTAAAATCCACACTATTTTTCTCAGTGTTCGTAAACACTGCCTAGTCAGCTAAAAATTCTACTAATTAAAAATAAATAAAAATTTTGTTGTTATAATTTACTTCTGTTCGAAACCTCCCTATTGAATTTCTTTATCAATAAGAACTAAGTCAAACACGTATAAGAGAAATGGCATCGGTTTGATTTCCTTTTAAAGAATACATCTGATTATTGAAAAAAAAAATTCAGAAATTTTTTTAAAAACTTTAATCACATGAATTCATGGGGTGTACATTCAACTGATTTGGATATTGTTAATATTAGTTGTTTTTGGAAACATCTACTGGTTACTATTAACCCCTTCTCTATTTTACACAGAAATAATTTTTAATTGAAAACCACACCATTGCGGGACCAATAACTTATGCAGTAATCGCTTAGACTATGACCTAGATTAGATAGCGAGAAACGACTGAGCTTTTGGGTTTCAACAAACCTAAGGTTGAACACAATTTTAGTTTTTTGATTAGAGTATTAGTAAGCATCATTATGGACAATAGTTGTATTCGACAATTAAACTTAATTTATTAGAAAATTGAACACTTTTTGAATAATTGAATAATAACAGAGCAAAAACCAAATTACGAACGCGATTCCCTATGATAAATCCTGTGAAAGACAGGCTGTTCTAGGAATACATTTGAAATATCAAATCTAGGTTTACGTTTCCATAACGCAATCACTTATTAAAAATTTTCTCTATCGATATCGATATCTAATATCGTACAGGATTGAATAATTCATTGATGTGTATGAGATTGTAAACAAGTTGGTTAATCGGTTGTTTCGTAAACATATCAGTCTTATTGTCGGAAAGCATGGAAAATAATCTTTTCCTCCTAGATTTTTAAAGAGGACAAAAAAATGGTTTAGATATATTTTGTAAATTTTTAGCATTTTAGTGACTTACTTTTTGAAGAATTTGAGTCAGCTACGAGACCTCTTTTTATAAATAGCTAAATTTACATTAAAAGTTTCAGAATGTTTTAAGATGAATACAGTATTAGGTATAATAGCCATAATTGAAACCTTAGGATGAATATTATAACTTAATCCAATAAATACATAAGATAGTGGTCACAATATGAAATATGGTATGCAAGAGATACGGATTAAAGGCTAAGAAAATTTCGAAGACTGCTGAGTATCTAGAAAATACCAATCTTTTTTCACAACTAAAAAGATGTCACTGACGATAACTCGATACAGTCGGTATAAGAATGTGGCTCAGATAAATATGATATCGCTTAGCATATAATATTTGATATTGTATAAACTAACGTAAAGTTTAAATTAGCAATACCAATTGCAGCTGACTATATATTACTTCTAATATCGTTTATCATATCGATTTAGTCGGCAGAGGAATGTGGCTCAGATAAGTAAATAATCGGTTGGCGTCAGATATATGTCGTTATTTCGACTAATGCATCGCTTTTTGTATTAACTACGCGATTTATGGATGATACTAATATTGGTTACAGCTCTTTCATAGTTTGTTTGATTTTTGTGAAGATCTTGCCTTTTATTAAAATGTTAAAATGTTTCGTAAGTGTTAATGGATCTTTAAATAATTAATTTTTTTAATTAAACGGTTAATAAATTTTTTATTCTTAAACTTAGAAAGTACAATAAATATATTCATAATTCTAATGCTATTTTTAGTTATACATCTTGAAAAATTTAAAGTCAATATCACTTAAAGCTTTTATCATTATATTTATTACAAAATTTATACTCATACGTACAATAAACTGCCAATTGTTATAGAATTACTTACCTATCCACTGATATGCAGCACAGATGCAATATGCTCGCTGTTGAGAAGTACACATCCAGACTGTTGTATACATTACACATGAATGGTCCAAACATCCATTTGCCACCTGAGAGCTCCACGGATGCATTGAATGTCATCGCGCAAAGTGCAACCAACATATCAGCCATTGCCAAGGAGACAACAAAATAATTTGTTATGACGCTGCAAGGAGAGGTAATATCATTACAAAGGATACACAAACAACAAACAAAACGGAAAATTACATAAAGCATAAATATTTGCACAACGACAACTTAAGGTGGAAAATGCAATAATAGCGGATAATAAGGAAAGAAACAAAATTTCCAACAATTGCGACAAAATTAAATTTTCTTTATGATTTTGCTAGGATACGGAAATGCCTGAAACGAGAGGAGTTGACTTTCTAGATGTGCTGTTATTTTGCATCTAAAACCTAGAGTGCCGCAGACAAAGTGCAATTAGTACTCCTTGGAAAGATGCATTTATTCAACGTAGCTTGTATAGAATAATTTGGTTCTGAAAGCGCATAAATTTTGTAACGACGAATCCGAAATTGAGTTACTCGCTGCATTGTCCTCCGCAGTTGCTTTTTATTTACTCTAATTTTTACATCCTTTTTCAAACTCCAAGTTTACGTGCTTACATAAATTATATTTTTCTGATTTGTAAATGTACTTGAATGTGCTTGCATTACGTGCTTGATTTTCTCTTCATTTTGAATTAAAGTAAAGGGGATCGTGCACGAGAAGACGAACCACAAGGTTATTGAAATTTTTTAGAGGTAAAAAGTACAGGTCCTATGAATTTATTAAAGATTTACTATACTTTAAAAGCATGAAAAGCATAAACTTTCTTTATTTCAAAGGAAAGTTTGTCAATTATTTACTAATACTCACAAATTTTGCAAATGGCATTAATCCGGCAATGGTAGAAACATTGACACAGTTTCTGTAGGTTGAAAACTTTCTTGATTCAGATAATATCCTAGCGGAAAGGTAAACTTCGAAATTTTAAGTGATATATAATTTGAGGTTCAAGCTTTTAAAAATAACTTAATTTATTTGTTCTAAGCCTATTGGATCCCACTGCACCATTTTCACGTTTTACTCAAGTGAAATTCGTTCATTCGAGTATATTTTTTTTCAAATATAAGTGATAAGCTTTTAATTTCACCACTGGGCCAAGCAGTAAAACAGATAAGCCAGGCAAGGCAGGCACATAATTTCAAAGCAAAATGGCTTTAATGTCGTTGACAATGTCCATCATCACCTTCAGTTTTGATTAAGTATTTGCTGCAATAACATTACAGTATCCACTTCAATCCACTTTGGCTCATTTGTCTCATAGGGAAAACTAAATGAAATAGTTTCTTCACTGCAGCACGTATGACAGTGTGTGCTGCAAATGGCACAGAAAAGGATCTGCAGTAAATAGAATTTATTTTGTGAGAATTAAATAAAGGAACACATTTTCGTATGAGTTTTGCACGTTAGATAAGTTGGATATGTTGGACACTAAGTGGATTTTCTACTGAAAAGGAACATGAAGCACATGACCGGCTTTATGTCAATATGAAAGGATATGTAATTGTTAATTTGAAATAAGAATTTATTTGCTTAAAAAGTTTTGTCAAACAGCAGGTACTGCACAGATGAACTGAGTTTAGATAAAATATTTATATTGTGTATATATATATATAGTGAAAAGTATGTTAAGGTAAGTATAGTAGTTTTTATTGACACATATATATATATATATATATATATATGTTAATATTTGATATATAACATAGAGAATAATCAAACACAAAATGTTTTTAAACTCAATACTCGTGTTAGCAAATAATCCTACATAACACGAAAAAATAAAATCCCTGTGAGTGGAAAGATTTGATATTCCAATTAAATCCTCTCAGTAATTTTTATTTGAAATAAGCTTATATAAATAGTTAGTTTTTAAATTTAAAATTAAAAGCTTAAAATAGTAATATTGATAAATTAATAAATATAAAGTAGGTGAAGTGGAAAACCTAATATTAAAAGCATCTATACAACTAATAAACTATTTATACTTATTGCAGATCTTATATTTATTTTTAATTAAGTAATAATAAGTAGGGAGTGTAATGAGTATAAATAGTTTATAAGTCGCATATATTTTTTTTACCATATATTAGGAATTCTCCAGATGAAGGGAAAAGTGAATTTGCCGAAGTACGTATAGAAATATACTAAAATTAACGTTCGAAATAAAAGTTAAAATTCTTTAAAAAAAAAACAAAACCGACATGCATAGAGATTTAAGAATCGAGTCAGTGAAAAATATATCAATGACAGACCCCTAAAATTATTCACAAAAATTGATACGTTGCCCAACCCCGCCCTAACAAACCGTAAGTCCACCTCAGGACGCACAGGCAGATATGCTGACCTACGGTCCGTCATCAGTTAGAAGATAAATAAACGATAATGATTCTAGTATAGTTAAAGTTTAGTGTGGGGTAGGGATAAGCCCCCAACAAAACCGACTTCAATTTAGTTTTGACGTAACAATTTAACATAAAAAGGAAAAAAAAAATAAAAACAAAAATATTCCAAAATGCTTAAAATATTATCAAATTGGTACCGATACCAATGCTTTTGGATAAATAAAAAAGGGTTTTCCAAAAATTGTGACCCTGCTACTTATCAAGCCTGGACATCTGCATATAAGGTGAGAGCTTTATTACGACTCTAATATATTAAGAGAATCAAAAATATGATTGTTCTGCATTAAAAAACTAAGTTATTATAAGAGTTCTAAAATTCTCATAAATCTATATTTGGTTAGGCAAAAAATATTCGGTGAATTTCTGTTTGTTTGACTATGTTTTTGTAATAGTTTCGAAAAGGTCAGTTAAAACTGGTAATATTTCCTTTTTTTAATGAATGGATTAGTTGATTATTATTAAATAAATTTTTGAGTTTAAGTGACAATAGTTAAATTACAAAAAAAAAATAGAGGTAGAGAGAAGCCGAGATAGAGAGTGAAAGACATACAGACACGGTTGCCACTTGAAAATTTTTTTCTGTACCAAAATTGGTTTAAAAAGGTACCATTTCTGTAAAAAAAAGGTCCAAAATTTTTCTATTGTCTTTTTATAAGAAAATACAATTTATATAAAATGTACAAAAAGTATAAAACAATACAATATCCACAATAAAGTTGGGTCGCTGAAAATGTACCATTTTTTGAACATGAGTACCAGAGTACCAAACGGAAAAAAAAGTACCAATTTTGGTACTAAAGTACCATAAGTGGCAACCGTGCATACAGAGACCGAGAGAGATAGAGATACAGAGACTGAGAGAGAGACCGAGACAGAGAGACACTCAGAGGCAGAAGGAGAGAAAAAGAGAGAAACGCAGAGAGAGAGAGAGAATGTTATCAATTTTTGAAAAAAGTTTTCAGTCACCTCAAAAACGAATGAAATTATGAATAAGTCTTAAGAAGACCAGCATGTCAGCAGGCACAAAGTCGCTAAAGAACTGAAAACCAAAGGCATTTCATCTTTTAATTATTAACAGAAGAAGTATGATACAATGCAGTGTACGGAAAAAAATCGTTTCATAAAATGAGAGAAAAGACTTAATTAATTACTGTTAAAACGAAATGAAATTTTTGTCGGATTTAAAGATTGTGGCAATAGTTAATTTCAAATTCTTTTAGTCAAAAAAAAACATGAGAGTTTAAAAATTCTGACATAGCTGGAAATGTTAGCAAAGAAAGACATATTTGATTAAGTTAAGGCTTTAAAGGCGAGTTTGTGACAGACTGCAAGTTGGTTACATATAAATTTGTCACGTTCCTCTAAGGCTATTGCCTTAGAATACTGAATCCTTTCAAGTGATTCAGTTCCCTAAAGAGTTTTTTCATAAGTATACTGTTAGTTCAATAATTCTAAGGCGACTAATATTCTCGAACATAGATCTGTTTGATTTTAGGATCCTGTTCTAAAGTAATAAAAAATTTATTGCCCTTTCGAATGATGAAAGTGAAATGAGAGTTATATGTGGCGTATTTTTATTGTAGTTTACTGATATTCTGGAACATAGCCATGTCCATTTCTGGTGTTTTGGTCTAAAGAAATAGAAAATTTTATGTCTTTTATACTTTGTTGTCTTAGACGACTGTTATTTTAAAACATAAACCTGTTTGATTCTGGTATCTTAAGCTTAGTACAATTCTGAAAGGACAATAGAAATATTTATATTCTTGAGAGCTGAGAGTTACACTTTGTTGTCTTAAACTACTGGATTTCTGGAACATAGACCTGTTTGTTGCTGGAATTTTGGTCTAAAATAATATAAAAAATTGACTATATGAAATGTTGATTAAAAATTTAGGTGTATGAATCTGAGTTATTTTCTTGAGTTTGTAGCCTTATTCATTTAAGTTGGTGTACCCTTATGCTTATCTGTGGATCTCTTATTATATGAGAGAGATGATATGATTTTTATGTTTATATGAGTTAAGCGTTTAATTCTTATCATAGTGCAAGTAGTTGACATATCTTTAAATTACAATTGAAATGAATGAAAAGGTTTATTTAAAAACAATTGGTAACCTTTGTATATTTACAGGGATTAATGTTAAAAATTTGAATTCTAGGAATTTATTAAAAAAATTATTTCTTTTTCACTAAAATAGTGATAAACATTTTTTAAATTATATTTCTTTAGAAATCACATGAAACTAGTTACTTAAATCTTTACTTCATTCTATGTATACTTATTTTTCTGCTTCGTTACAAGGATTACTTCGCTATTTTTTCTTATCTAAAAAAACATGAGATTTTTTTCAGATGATCGACTTCATCAGTCCTGAAATCTTAGCAAACTGGAATTTAATTAACTGACTGACCTTTCCACTAGCGAAAGTACGGAATATCTCCACCGAAAACGACATTTGTCGACGTTTTGATTGACTTACCGTAACTTTCGGTTACGTTGCACTGATATAATAACCAAAGCATTTCCAAGTACTGCTGCTAGGATGATGGACGAAAATATAAATCCTTTCAATATGAGAAGCAACAAGTTGAACCAATTATCCTCAAGGATATCTGTGCCATCGTTTGTGTTTGTGCCATTAAATGGATATAAGGTTGGATGAACATTCGAACTGTTAATTGCTGCTGCTATACTTGTTGTTGCTGTTCCTGGAGTTGCTGATGGAATTGTCGTTGTTAGTGCTGTTTGTGCTTGTATTAGAGTATCTTTAAATGTATTTATTGCTGACTTCGCTGCTGTTGTTGCTGCCACAGCCGTTGTTGGTATTGCACTCGAAATGGCAGTTGCTGTTGTTGTTGCTATTGTATTTGTCCAATTCGACAATTCGGGCAACAAAAAACTAGCGTTCCTTGCTGATATACCTGATATAGTTGCCGTTGTGGTTGTCAGTGCAGTTGATGTGAAATCAATATCAAATGTACTGGCATCCAAGTCAGAATCAAATGTTGTTAAAGCAGCATCAGTTTCGGCAGCTGCCGTTTCCACATTGGGGTAAGTGCTGCTAAGAGACAAATCCGAGTCAGCAACATGATACAGCGTTGACATTGTGTATTTGTCATACGTACGATTGGTAATGGGCGTAACTAACAAAAATTGTATCTAAATTGACTAAGGACTCTTTATGTTGGTTGAGAAATGCGCTTATTGCTATTATGTTATGTATTTGTTGGATAGCAAGTTTTACTTTAATTGAATTATTTTTCACTGAATTTGGTGTTGTTGTATTTGTTGTTATTTTTGATGTTGTTGTTGTTGTTGTAGCTGTTGCTGTAGCTGTTGCTGTTGTTGTTTCAATTTTTAGAGATATAAAGGGCCATAATAATTTCTGAAGTAGTGCGATTGTCGTTGTTTGTCTGCTAACTGCTGTTTGTTTCCCGATTTTGTATGCATAAGGCGCCAACAGCATTTTTACATTTACGGGCACATCACGTTTTCAATAATAACGAATGAATTATGATTGAAATTTGAAATGATTGCAAAAATAATTGCAATTTGTAATGCAAATAGTAGGTGAAGACTCCGCATCGCAATTCATCATTATCAACAATGGTAATAGTAGGAATTTCCGTGCCATTTCGAATGGCAACATTATTTCCATTGAATCTGTACGAAAATTTCTGATAGCATGGATGTGCTGAGAAGGCAATATGCGCTGGTGTGACTATTATTGTTACTGTTTCCGTTTCCTCACATGAATTTTAATTGAATGAATCTGTAATTAAAATGAGAATTTTGGTTAATTAAATTATTTGCATATTCTATACTGTATATTCTACTTAAAAACACAAAAAAAAAATTTATAATTTTAATAAATAATTCAATTAAGCTGATATAAAAAGTGTTTATCTTTACGGCTGTTGGTTTAACACTGAATACTAAGCTTTGTGAATATTTTTTAATAATAAGAATTTAATAATAAGTAAAAATATATTTACAGTTGAAAGGATTTGCAAATATTAATAAAAATAATTGGAAATAGAAATTTAAAAATATTTATATAAATGCTATTTTAAAAATATATGCAATAACACCGAAAAACATTAATTTAATTGCATCCTTTTGCCACATTTTATGAAAATATTTAATAAAAACAAATGGAAATGCCATAAAAACTATGGAAATATTTTATTAAAAATTGGCGAGCCACAGGCGCGTGTTTGTAATTTACTATATTTTGATAGCGACCCTTTATTTTCTGATTATAGCAATATTCGGTACAAATCTCACTCTCACTTTTCACTTTCCACTTCCACATCCGAGCCAAACTGTGATTCCGTATACTATTTATACATTTGTATACATATAATATGATATATATGAATGTCAGATATATATATATTATATAGAAGCGAATAGAAAGCCGATATTCAACTGCTGTCGTGTGCTTGTGGCTTATAAAATTCGTCCTTGATAAACTCATAAATTCTGCAAAAATACAAAAAAACTCAAAATGTGAAAATGTGAAAATACCAGAAATAACTAAAAATACTCGTAAGTAAAATATTTGTTGCCCTACAGGGTTGTGATTTTTAACGCTACGATTACCAGAAATATTGTAATATTGTAAATAAGAACGTCTTTCACTTAAGCAGTTGGTACTTCATGGATTTGAATAAATGCCTGCGTTCTGCCTTTGCCCTTGTGAATCCATCAACGTCAGTTGGTAAGGATTGGTGAGGATTTTTAATGCAAGGATTTCATCATTTCAATGATGAAATCAATCAGTGCAAAAATTTAAGTTTTGAAAGACTTTTAAGTGCCGAGAAGTTTCACAAATTCAAAAGAATTTCAATGAATAAAAAGGATTTCCTTTCAGTTTCAATCAAATATTGTTTGAATTAATGTATCGACTAATGAAAAATCACTCTCAATTCATATTAAAATGAATAATTGCGAATTATTCTAATGAAGCGTAATAAAGCTTCATTTCATGTTTGATGTGTTAAATTGTAAAGAAAGGATATAAGGATGAGGACTCTTAAATAAGAAAGTAGAAGTTCATTATTGTGGAATTCGGAATTGGTTAATAATTACTCTACCATAAAAATATATTAAGGGTAGAGTTTAAAGTTTAAAGACAAAATAAATAAGTCCAAACTCTATTCTAAATTAATATTACCTAACTAATTTTTTATTTATTTTTGTGCGGAGAGGAAGTTTAAAAATGCCTAACGCATTGTCACTATGCCGTCACAATATGTATGCTCGGTATGCATGGACTAAAAACAATCCCTTTCGTATGCCAGACCGTATCTCCCCAGGAATTTTATTGAGAATACTTCAGGGTAGGGTCCCCGTGCTGGTTAAACATTAAAAAAATTTTTTTTTTCTTCGCTAGCCTGCGTCCAGACCTCGGTTGGGACTATATGTTTGCTTCTTTTTCAAAACTAGTCATTTTCAAAATCATATTTTTTTCGTTTAAGTATGATCGTCATGAATTTTTTATCAGCTAAAAAGCTCAGTTGGTTCAATTAAGGCGTAAAAGTGTAACCTACTCAACATAACAGTTGCTGAGTGACATGCAATGAGTCTTGCTCTACTTCTTAACAGCTTTTTTCGTTGTTGTTACTCCATAAAAGAGGAGGTAAATGAGTTTCATCTAATGTGTCACTGTCCATCTTTGGTCAGCAGAAGATTTAATAATTTTGGGGTTCGTAGAAACGAACTTTTCTACTTTTAGCCCGTTGCTTTGATAAAGGCTCATAATGGAAAGTCCAGATCTCACTTTTAGTGATGCAACGATGAACCCAATAATATAAGCTATTATAAAAAAAAATTATAGAATCTCTTTTTGTGTTCAGAAGCTGTTGACAAAGTGGATTTCAAAGTGTTTTTGTGGAATGTATATTGTTATGGAATATGGCACTTATTCCACACATAGCTTTTTGAAATCCAAAATTTGATGTAAAATATTACTAATTGTGTCTAATGAATTGCATAGAATTTTAACTAAATCTCTCTTAGTCAGTCAAACATTTTCGAACACCATGTAGTGTATATTATCGATGCCTTCTGATGCTACTATTTAACACTTCTTAATCATACGGCGTTTATTTTCAAAAGAAGCAGATTTACTTAACATTTTTATCATTTCAGTATGAATACCCATTTTCTTTAATCTTTTCCTACTAATCTCTGTCCGATATTCAATTTTTCCATTATTGAAATATAAACTGACACTTCAAACGTAGTCTTAATAAATACTTTATTGAAAGATTGAAATGAAATTTTGAATATATAACTCGAAAAGGCGAAAGTCCTTAAAGTTTTAATTTTGTTATTCGCAAATAAATCGTGTTTCTCGAACTTATAAGTGTGAACTTATGATAATTAATGCTAATAAAGTGCCGATTTATTATAAAATAATATCTAATAGTCTTAAATTTATTAAAATTTATTTAGAATATATTAAAATCATTTAAAAATATGATAAGATGATATATTTCATCCTCCTCTGTCAACAGTTTCGTAAATGAATTCCAGGTAATTTAAAATATTAATCAAATTAAGTGAAACACCTACAAAATTAAATTAAAATTGTTGTGCCTTCATAAACGTGCTTTTTATTTAATGGGTCTTTTAACCTGTAATTTGGCTGATGATAATTTCTCCAAATTAATTACGAATTCTCATTGAGTTTGGGAGAAACTCTTTTGTTTAAAATTGAAAAATTATTTACCAAAAAAAGGTGATAATTTTTCGTGGATTAAGTAATTGTGCGACAATAAGAGGAACTTGAAAAACTGAATGTAATTAAGGAATAAAAATCTTAACCAACAGATAAATGCAAATAATCACCGAATGTATTGGGTCAGGAGCCAAAAATCTGGGTGCGAAACACAAAAAAGAAATTTGAATAAATGATTTACTAAGTAGAAGACATTCATTGTTTCGATAAAGGATTTAAGGGAAAAATTAGTTGCAATCAAAGAAAAATTTGATAAAAATCTTTTATTTGACATTTTTCAAATAAAAAAGACTTTGAAGGAAAGGATGAAGATGGATGTGCAGGATGCTGTAGTGTTTCTTAATTAGTCTTATTATTTGATTTTTAATTTATTTTACATAGACTTTTTGGCTAATTGTTAAGAATTTTATAATTTTATAATTTTACTTAAATTATTTAAATATTTATAAACGAAATTTATTTAAATTTATATAAATAAAATAAATTTCAAAAGTAAAAATACGAAACGTATCTTTGCGTTAACTTGAGATGAATATTGTGTAAATCAATGTTGTTATGGCTTAAATGATTTCTAAAAGTTTTGAAAGAATTACTAAAGTAATTAAACCTGTACCAATACAATCCATATACTAATATGAATTAACTTTTTAAATGAACTTTGGTGCGTAAGATCGCTAATCCAATGTAGCCTAATCTTATTACGAGTTAACCTCTTCTTTCCATATTTGCAAGCATCTACTTGATATTTGTGCTAAAATGAACTTTGGTGCACAAGACCGCCACTCCAATGTAACCTAATCTTATTATGAGTTAAATTCTTCTTTCTATGTTCGCAAGCATCTATTTGATATTTAGCTTTAATAAATAAATAGTTAAATAACCTAAAGCGATATTAGTGTTAACTAATAGAATTAAAACCGTTAAGAAATGAGATAAAGTTTCAAGCACGACAAATGTGAGCAAAAGTCGTTAGATAACAGCACAAAAACTGGTTAAAATAAGCAGAAGTGCCAGCTAACAACACCAAAAATAGGAAAGAAAAGGCAAACCAATGTCAATTCTTACATAAAAATATAAAAAAGAAAATCTCTTATATCTTATTATGTTGAAGCTATTTAAACCAATGCACTTTTGTTCTTTCTTTACTTGAGGTATTTTTAAAACCGCTCTTTACGCCTTGACTGGATTATAGTTCATCACTTCATCAGACTAAGCAATAATTGACATTAGATCGTCATACCTCCCTGAGGAGCCTGTAGCCATTCTGAGATTTGATATCTAATTAATACAAATATTACATTATTACATTTATTTATATTATTAATATTTGAGCATTATGTTGTCTTAACTGAAGTTTAGATATTTTTAAATGTAAGCACCTTATATGGTGGTGTTCCATTTTATATTTTATGCGAAATAACAAGTCTGTGCGCTGTTCATTCTAGATCATTCACGATAATGTATTTAGACGTTCTAATATA